TCTTGACCTTGCCTGTACTCTCACATATATATATACCTGCTCTTGCTTGTCTAGCTTTATATATATGTGTGTACTCTTGCATGTGAACTGGCCGTGTGGCCTTGACCCTGTGCTCGGACTGTGTGGTGACTTTGTGATCCACCCTGAGCTTGCTTTGCTTTACTTTGCTTGACTGGTCTTGTGACCCCTTGTTCTCCCCCACTTTGCCTATGGGGGTGTGTCAGAACATTATAGCTTATGCTGTTGTGTAGGCTATAGTGGGGTATCCCATAGGGGGTACAACCAATTAGGGTTTCATATTTGTACTCACTTCATTTCATAGTTCATTCATTCTTGTTCAAATCTTCTCACACACATGCAATGAGAGACAGCAGGGTGCTAATCATGCAAGGTAGCCTAGACTATCCAACCCCTCTATGCCACCTAGAGCTCAAGAAGAGGCTCCAGGACAGTAAAACAGTCCCCGAGGTATAATTCTTGCCCTATCCCCCCTACAGGCGGGTTTTCTACAGCAGCCGCCTCCCCTAACTTGATCATGAGACCCACGGATTGGGCCCTCTGCAGTGCAACCGACCACTTCTGCCTGAACTGGTGCAGGAACTTCGCGGCTTGATAGGATTTGGAGTCGGCGTTGAAGTATCGCCGAGCCGCCGTGTCTACAAGGAGTTTCAGGAACACAGGGACCTCGGCACAAGGGCAGCCGTAGGTCTCTACTGCGAGGGGGAAGAAACCCACTGTCTCTGGCAGGTTTTCGTAGTGTTTGATCTTCTTATCTGCCTGCTCCCGGGCTGCCCATCCCCTGCCTTTCCGAGCCTCAGGGTCCCTGGTGCTAATAGGGTCTGTAACCGTGACATCACACACCCAGACTGCCCCACTACTTCTGTCTGTCATGGTAAAATCAGCCGTCTGCTCCTCTATGGGGCAGTAGACGTTAGTCTCCCTGTGTACTATGAACCCCGCGTCTTGCGCCATGCTGATGCACGCGTCGCGGAGTTCATTATGAGTATTCGTCCGGTGCTTCCCCGTGCCGCAGCGGAAGAGGTGGTTGGGGAGGCGCGGGTCTGTGATTTCGGTGTGGTCTGCACAATCACAATTCTTGAACGCCACGTGCCAGCCCAGCGCTCTCTCTCTCTCTCTCTCTCTCTCTCTCTCTCTCTCTCTCTCTCTCTCTCTCTCTCTCTCTCTCTCTCTCTCTGCCTCACCTAGATACATATTAGAGGCTTTTGGTGCAAAAAAAATGGGAGTTACAACAAGTGTCAGGGCTCTAAACTGCCAATAGTGTGATGGTTCCCTATCCTTGAACAGATTGGGTCCGTTCTGCGCACCGACGCTTGTCTACCTCATTAAATCAGTTGTGAACGATCTCAAACCCGGACAGCCTCACCTAGATACATAGTAGAGGCTATTGGTGCAGATAAATGGGAGTTAAAACAAGTGACGGGGCTCTAAACTGCTGATAGTGTGTTGGCTGCCTATCCTTGAATAGATTTGGTCCGTTCTGCGCACCGATGCTTGTCTCCCTATCCAAATCAAATGCGAATGATCTCAAACCCGGAGAGCCTCACCTACGTACATAGTACAGGCTATTGGTGCAAAGAAACGGGAGTCAAAACAAGTGACAGGGCTCTAAACTGGTGATGGTATGTTGGCTGCCTATCCTTGAACAGATTTGGTCCGTTCTGCGCACCAACACTTGTCTACCTATCCAAATCAGCTGCGAACGATCTCAAACCCGGACAGCCTCACATATATATGTATATATATATATAGTAGAGGCTATTGAAGAAATAGTGCTAAAAAAGGCATCCAGACGTTGGCGCAGTGACATGATGCGCACAGGCCTATCCTTGCACTGTTACAGGCCAGCAAACGCACAAACATGCGCCCCGTGCTGCGTAGTTGTGCTAACGAGGTCAAACCAGTTCCTATGGCTAGGCAATAGGATGTAGTAGAGAACCGTGTGAAGAAATAGTGGTAAAAAAGGCATTTAGACATTGGCGCAGTGACATCTTGCGCACAGGCCTATGCTTGTACAGATTCGGGCCAGCGAACGCACAAAGATGCGCTTCATGCTGCGTAGTTGTGCGAACGACCTCAAACCAGTTCCTATGGCTAGAAAATAGGATGTAGTAGGGACCTGTATGAAGAAATAGTGCTAAAAAATGCATCCAGACGTTGGCGCAGTGACATGTTGCGCACATGCCTATCCTTGCACTGTTTCAGGCCAGCAAACGCACAAACATGCGCCCCGTACCGCGTAGTTGTGCTAACGAGGTCAAACTAGTTCCTATGGCTAGGCAATAGGATATAGTAGAGAACTGTGTGAAGAAATAGTGGTAAAAAATGCATTTAGACGTTGGCGTAGTGACATCTTGCGCACAGGCCTATCCTTGCACAGATTCGGGCCAGCGAACGCACAAAGATGCGCTACATGCTGCGTAGTTGTGCGAAAAAACTCAAACCAGTTCCTATGGCTAGAAAATAGGATGTAGTAGGGAACTGTGTGAAAAAAAAGTGGTAAAAAATGCATTTAGACGTTAGCGCAGTGACATCTTGCGCACAGGCCTATCCTTGCACAGATTCGGGCCAGCGAACGCACAAAGATGCGCTACATGCTGCGTAGTTGTGCCAACGACCTCAAACCAGTTCATATGGCTAGAAAATAGGATATACTAGGGAACTGTGCGAAGAAATAGTGCTAAAAAAGGCATCCAGATGCTGGCGCAGTGACATGTTGCGCACAGGCCTATCCTTGCACTGTTTCCGGCCAGTAAACGCACAAACATGCGCCACGTGCTGCGTAGTTGTGCTAACGAGGTCAAAACAGTTTCTATGGCTAGGTAATAGGATTTAGTAGAGAACTGTGTGAAGAAATAGTGCTAAAAAGGGCATTTAGACGTTGGTGCAGTGACATGTTGCGCACAAGCCTATCTTTGCACAGATTCGGGCCAGCGAACGCACAAACATGCGTCACGTGCTGCGTAGTTGTGCTAACGAGGTCAAAACAACTCCTATGGCTAGGCAATAGGATGTAGTAGAGAACTGTGTGAAGAAATAATGCTAAAAAGGGCATTTAGACGTTGGCGCAGTGACATGTTGCGCACAAGCCTATCCTTGCACAGATTCGGGCCAGCGAACGCACAAACATGCGTCACGTGCTGCGTAGTTGTGCTAACGAGGTCAAACCAGTTCTTATGGCTAGGAAATAGGATGTAGTAGAGAACTGTGTGAAGGAATTGTGGTAAAAAATGCATTTAGACGTTGGCGCAGTGACATGTTGCGCACAGGCCTATCATTGCATAGATTCGGACCAGCGAACGTACAAACATGCGCCACGTGCTGCGTAGTTATGCGACCGACCTCAAACCAGTTTCAATTGCTAGGGAATAAGATGTAGTAGGGAACTGTGTGAAAAAATAGTGCTAAAAAAGGTATCCAGACGTTGGCGCAGTGACATGTTGCGCACAGGCCTATCCTTTCACAGTTTCAGGCGAGCAAACGCACAAACATGCGCCACGTGCTGCGTGGTTGTGCTAACGAGGTCAAACCAGTTCCTATGGCTAGGCAATAGGATGTAGTAGAGAACTGTGTGAAGAAGTTGTGGTAAAAAATGCATTTAGACGTTGGCGCGGTGACATCTTGCGCACAAGCCTATCCTTGCACTGATTCGGGCTAGCGAACGCACAAACATGCGCCACGTGCTGCGTAGTTGTGCGAACGACCTCAAACCAGTTTCAATGGCTAGGGAATAGGATGTAGTAGGGAACTGTGTGAAGAAATAGTGCTATAAAAGGCATCCAGATGTTGGCGCAGTGACATGTTGCGCACAGGCCTATCCTTGCACAGTTTCAGGCCAGCAAACGCACAATCATGCGCCACGTGCTGCGTAGTTGTGCTAACGAGGTCAAACCAGTTCCTAAGGCTAGGTAATAGGATGTAGTAGAGAACTTTGTGAAGAAATAGTGCCAATAAAGGCATTTAGACGTTGGCGCAGTGACATTCACTAATCATCATATCGTACCAACATTAGAGCACTATTATAGAATATAACGGAGCTCTTTTTCGAGGCCTTGAGCCAACAGGACACAAGTGTTCTGTTACAGGCCTCCACCATTGGTCCCCCGAGGCTGAGATGAAATTCTAAGATTGTTTCGAAGAATCATGTACGTTGCTAGACTGCCGTCGACAACAACACACCAATTTGCATAGCACATAATATTATTGGAAATAACTGCTGGAAAACCAATGGAATTAAAATGCATCAATAATTAAAGTAGCAGAATCAGATGTCTAATATAACCAGGTGTAGAATTCAATAGTCAGTATAATGTTTTCGTTTCCACATTTAATGTTTCTGGAGAGTGTAGTAATATTACGTTTTATCCAGAGCCAACACAGCAAATTCGTTCGGGACCCTGAGCCAATGGGACACGGCAGCCCTGTTCCAGGCCTCCCTGAAAAGTGCCGAAGCTGTGATGTCCCGCCGAAGCTGCCACCCTAAATGCTCGACCACTCAGGTCATTTCCGAAGCTGCCAAGCTGGCTGCCCAAGCCCTTACGAGGGTTCCGAAGGTACTTGGGCTGATTCCGTTTCGACGCGACGCGTCGAAAGTAGGTTTCCCCACTCAGTTCAATTTGTTATGTCAGACATACTCTCGGAAACCATACTTTTCGGAGGACCCCATTTTTGGGATGAGGGTTTGAGCGTATATTCCCACCAGCGGAGCTGCTCGCACCACACGGGGTGCTCTTCACGCTCATGTTCCCCGTGCGTGCCATTGCACCCTCTCATGTTCCCCGTGCGTGCCCCTGCATGCTCCCTCTCACCATGCGTATCCATGCATGCCGGTCATTCAATGTTCATTTGTGCCCTCGTGTTACCAGCACACATGAATGCACCCTCGTGTTACCTGCACATATGAATGCACCCTCGTGTTACCGGCACACATGAATGCACCCTCGTGTTACCGGCACATATGAATGCACCCTCGTGTCTTCCCTATGAGCAAACCTAATGGCTGCTGTGTGCTCACGGCGCGCGCCTGTCTGCGTGTCTTTCCCTCGCTGCGTGCTCGTCGCCTGCAGATCGATGGACATGAGGGCGGCCCACCCTATGCCGTCTCCAATGACAGGTGTGCCCCTCCTGTCCCCGTGTCCTCCCTCGCCCCTCTCCCACCTCTCTTCCCTGTCCACCCTTTCCCTACTCTCTCCCTTTCCCCATTGTTCTACCTGTGTCCCCCCTGCTCCACCTGGTCCGCTTGTCACATCCGCCGTTGTCCCCCCTCCCCCCTCCCCCCTCCCCCCTCCTCCTTCTGCTCGCCCCTATGCAGCCCTCGCTGTAATTGCCATTTCTTTCTCCTCTTCCCTTCCTGCCCCTCCCGTCCATGCCCTCCCCATCCTGGGCCTCCGCACTTGTGTTCCCCACCTCCCTACGCGCCTCGCTCCCCTTGCTGCTCCCCCGCCTCCCCCACCCGCCACCACCACCAACTCCTCATGCCGCCACTGCCCACCTCCCTCCGCGCCTCCCTCCTCTCTCTGCTCCCTCTCCTGACTCTCTCTCGCCACCACCACCAACTCCTCATGCCGCCACCGCCCGCCGCCACTGCCTGCCTCCTCTTCCCCCCCCCCCCAAACGTTCCACCCGTGCAGCTATGCGGAGGTGCTGCAGCCGCTGGGCTTCACGGCAGAGGATCTTCCCACAGCCAGTGTACCGCCCAGACAGGTAAGCCTCACAGTCAGTGTGCGTCAGGGCACAGGTCACCAGGGCACGGGGCACCAAGGCATGGGGCACCAGGGCACTGCTGTGCTTGTCACCACTACTGTGCTTGTCACCACTACTGTGCTTGTCACCACTGCTGTGCTTGTCACCACTGCTGTGCTTGTCACTCCCTCTCTGGCTCATTGCAAGTGCGGCCACTCACCTGCCTCTGCCTGTGTTGTTGTGCCTCTGCTCTTGCATGCGAGTGTGTATGACCGTGCGTGTGTGTGTGGGTGCCGGTGTGGGTGGGTGAGTGGGGGTATGGTGTGCGTGGATGCGTGGGCGAGTGCTTGGGCGGGTGCGTGGGCGGTTGGTTGGGTGGGTGGGTGGGTGGGCGGGTGCATGGGGGGTGCGTGTGGTGGGTGGGACGTGCAGGGAAAGGAGCAGCTGGCCAAGTGGGTGCGAGTGGCTGCACCATCCAAGGTGTGACACGCGTGGGACTGCTACAATGGGCACCCGCGAGCAGCACGGGCCACCTCGAAGCACCTTAGGAGAGAACGTCTATCTCGCGCCGTGTGTTTCATCTCGAGGCGTACAATATATGAGAAATGAAGCTCCGTGCTTGTTTGAGTTACAAAGTGGGCGTCAGAGCAGTTGGAACGTACTGTGTGAACTCAAAGTCCACTCCCTGCAGGTACGGTAGATGCACTGCACGTGTTACCTTGGATGACACGTGCAGTAGGTACACTAGGATACAACCTTGAGTTCCCTATGAGGGTGCCAGTGCCGCGGATGCGATACAACCTTATCTGTGATTGTTACTGCTGTATGATGCCTTGAAACTATTCTTAAAGAGACGTGTCCTCCCCACTCAGCACATCCCATCCCATACACAGCAGCAACCCAACTGGGTTTGTACTTGTGACACTGCTGCACTCATACCGTTTTAACCTTGTTCTTTCCTAGTAGACTGTTAATAGCACCTTTGAAACTTGAAGAGAATTGATTATGATTTCGTATCAGGAGTGTTGCTAGAAGGCTGCAATTTGATATTAATCCTTCTGCGACAGAAAGAACATTCAATAGAGTTACCACCCGACCACTAACAAGCAAAATACGTAACATGGGAGTACTGGGTTGGGTACGTATCAGCTCGCCACATCTTCTCTACTAAGCTACTTCTCTGCTTCTCCAGATACTACCACTCCCCCGGCCTGTATTGCTTCACTGCATCACTGGTTGACTGCTTCAATGCATCACTGGTTGACTGCTTCACCGCATCACTGGTTGACTGCTTCACTGCATCACTGGTTGACTGCTTCACTGCTTCACCATCCAACCAACCTCTCCCCCTCCGTTAGTCATCGATTCCCGTCAATTCTCCCCCGTCATTACTCCAATACCACTGCTTCACTGCATCACTGCTTAACTACTTCGCTGCTTCACTAGTTTCTTCTCGATTCCCATTAGTTCGCTGCTTCCCTTTAGTTCACTGCTGCTCCCCCATCACTGCTGCTCCCCCATCACTGCTGCTCCCCCATCACTGCTGCTCCCCCTTCACTGCTGCTCCCCCTTCACTGCTGCTTCCCCTTCACTGCTGCTTCCCCTTCACTGCTGCTTCACCTTCACTGCTGCTTCCCCTTCACTGCTGCTTCCCCTTCACTGCTGCTTTCCCTTCACTGCTGCTTTCCCTTCACTGCTGCTTCCCCTCGTTTTTTTTTTTTTTTTTTTTTACTCGAAGGCTTGTGCACAAGCCATGGAGGATAAAAAAACCGTCCCATCAGCACCGCGTTGGGTATGATGCCTACGGGCTAAGACCCCGACAATTAGGGTACTGCCGTATCACTCGGCTAAAAAACCTCCTTAAGGGCGCTTCCCTGCACCCCACTGCTTCTCCCCTCCTCTGCACCAGCGGCTGCTTCTGCTGCTCCCCTTAACTGCACCAGGCGGCTGCTTCTCCGCTTCAAGGTTTAGGGGTTCCTCTCCCCTTCTCTAGAGCAGGCGGCTGCTTCTCCCATTCTCCCTTTTACTCACCAGGCGGCTGCACCCCTTTCTCTGCACCAAGCCTCTCCTCCGATTTCAGGGCTTAGTGGTTTTCCTCCCCTTCTCTGCACATGACGGCTGCAACTTCCCTTCAGGGTTAAGGGGTTCCTCTCCCCTTGACTGCACCAGAAGGCGGCTGCTTCACTCCTTCTCCCCTTGTCTGCACCATAAGGCGGCTGCTTCTCTCCTTCTCCCCTTGTCTGCACCAGAAGGCGGCTGCTTCTCTCCTTCTCCCCTTGTCTGCACCAAAGGGCGGCTGCTTCTCTCCTTCTCCCCTTGACTGCACCAGAAGGCGACTGCTTCACTCCTTCTCCCCTTGTCTGCACCATAAGGCGGCTGCTTCTCTCCTTCTCCCCTTGTCTGCACCAGAAGGCGGCTGCTTCTCTCCTTCTCCCATTGTCTGCACCAAAGGGCGGCTGCTTCTATCCTTCTCCCTTTGACTGCACCAAAAGGCGGCTGCTTCTCTCCTTCTCCCCTTGTCTGCACCAGAAGGCGACTGCTTCTCTCCTTCTCCCCTTGTCTGCACCAGAAGGCGGCTGCTTCTCTCCTTCTCCCCTTGTCTGCACCAGAAGGCGGCTGCTTCTCTCCTTCTCCCCTTGTCTGCACCAGAAGGTGGCTGCTTCTCTCCTTCTCCCCTTGTCTGCACCAGAAGGCGGCTGCTTCTCTCCTTCTCCCCTTGTCTGCACCAGAAGGCGGCTGCTTCTCTCCTTCTCCCCTTGTCTGCACCAGAAGGCGGCTGCTTCTCTCCTTCTCCCCTTGTCTGCACCAGAAGGCGGCTGCTTCTCTCCTTCTCCCCTTGTCTGCACCAGAAGGCGGCTGCTTCTCTCCTTCTCCCCTTGTCTGCACCAGAAGGCGGCTGCTTCTCTCCTTCTCCCCTTGTCTGCACCAGAAGGCGGCTGCTTCTCTCCTTCTCCCCTTGACTGCACCAGAAGGCGGCTGCTTCTCTCCTTCTCCCCTTGTCTGCACCAGAAGGCGGCTTCTCCCTTCAGGGTTTACGGGTTCTTCTCCCCTTAACTGCACCAGGCGGCTTCTCCCCTCAACTGCATCAAGCGGCTGCTGCATAGGCGGCTGCTCCCCTCCACTGCTCCATCCGTCTCTCCCTATGGCTCCAGGCTGACGCATCAAGTGACGAACCCCCCACACCCACGCCAGTGTGAGAAAGCCCCGAGGCTTTAAGTGAAACCGCAAGCCTCCTAAACAGAAACCCTCAGGTGACCTAGAATGAGTATTTCCACACCCACGCCAGTGTGGACTCATCATTATGAGGTAAGAGAAGATCTCCGCACCCACGCCAGTGCGATCTCCCTTCTCTTAAGAGTGACTCAAGCCCCCCGCACCCACCCCGGTGCGGTGCTGACTTGTGGTGCAAGTGCAACCCCAACAGTGATGCTACCTGGAGTGTCAGGTACCCGGATCTGCTTGATTCTGGGCCCAGGCAGTGCAAAGCCTCCCGGACGACTTTGCACTGCCAGAACCAAGCACCGGCCCTTACTCCATCACATCACTGCTGAGATCACACTCGCACCGCGCCACTCGCCTTAGGACCGGCTGAGCCACACACTAGACTCAGCCACCTCTTAGGCCACCCTTGAGCTCCAGTCTAGCCACAATCCGCGCAACCCTTCGCCACAACCCTCCACTGCTTCGCCACAACCCGCCGAGCATCCGCTTCCGCAACAACCGCTTCCGCAGCCTCCACCTCCGTCTACTACTTGCAGCCCAGCCTCCTTGCAGCCCAGCCTCCTTGCAACCAAGCCTCCTTGCAGCCTCCGCCTACGCTTCTCCCCTATAGACTGCTGTAGACTGCTTCGCTGCTTCCCTGTAGGCTGCTTCGCTGCTTCCCTGTAGGCTGCTTCCCTGTAGGCTGCTTCGCTGCTTCCCTGTAGGCTGCTTTGCTGCTTCCCTGTAGGCTGCTTTGCTGCTTCCCTGTAGGCTGCTTCGCTGCTTTCCTGTAGGCTGCTTCGCTGCTTTCCTGTAGGCTGCTTCGCTGCTTCCCTATAGGCTGCTTCGCTGCTTCCCTGTAGGCTGCTTCGCTGCTTTCCTGTAGGCTGCTATGCTGCTTCCCTGTAGGCTGCTACGCTGCTTCCCTGTAGGCTGCTACACTGCTTCCCTGTAGGCTGCTACGCTGCTTCCCTGTAGGTTGCTATGATACTTCCCTGTAGGCTGCCAGCACCGCTTTCGCAGCCCACGCTCAGCTTCCGCAGCAAGTATTCCGCTTCCGCAGCCCATACTCGGCTTCCGCAGCCCATACTCGGCTTCCGCAGCCCATACTCGGCTTCCGCAGCCCATACTCGGCTTCCGCAGCCCATACTCGGCTTCCGCAGCCCATACTCGGCTTCCGCAGCCCATACTCGGCTTCCGCAGCCCATACTCGGCTTCCGCAGCCCATACTCGGCTTCCGCAGCCCATACTCGGCTTCCGCAGCCCATACTCGGCTTCCGCAGCCCATACTCGGCTTCCGCAGCCCATACTCGGCTTCCGCAGCCCATACTCGGCTTCCGCAGCCCATACTCGGCTTCCGCAGCCCATACTCGGCTTCCGCAGCCCATACTCCGCTTTCACAGGGTTCAGGAGTTCATCTCCTCTCCTCTCAACCTGGCCGCCTCTCCCCTTGTCTGCACCAGGCTGAATCAACCCTTCAGGGTTCAGGGGTTCATCTCCTCTCCTCTCCACCAGGCCGCCGCTCGGTAAGTTGCTCGGCCGCTTTGTAGATTGCTCCGCCGCTCTGTAAGATGCTCGGCCGATTCGTAGACTTCTCTTTCGCCATTTCTGTCGTCGTTGGCTGGTCCTGTTAAGAGAAAACGACGGACATATTATTATTTATGTTACCAGAATCTCAGAATGCGAATCTTAAGGAAAACTGACAGACACCAATTGCAACGGTAAACGGTGGAAGGAGTGAGACGGTGAACAGCTGACCAGATGCTTCAACGGGGCGTTCCGCTGCTTCCTTGGTCGCCGCTTCCGCAGCCCAGGAACCGCTCCCGCAGCCCAGCAACCGCATCCGCAGCGCAGCAACCGCATCCGCAGCCCACCTTCGCTTCCGCAGGCCAGCAACCACTTACACAGCCACTTCCGCCGCCAAGCCCCGGCTTCCGCCACTTTGTAGGCTCCTTGGTTGGCTGCTCGTAGGCTCCTTGGTCCTGTTTTAAGAAAAACACAAACAAGAATTAGTACATATTCTTCTGAATCAAAATCTCAAACGAAAGACACAATTTTGCAGAAAACGGCAAAACCCAAGGATGAACAATGCAATGGCTGTAAACTTACTTGACAGCTTCCATGGCCTCGCTTCCGCAGGCCAGCAACCGCCTCCGCCGCCCAGCTTCTGCTTCCGCAGCCCAGCAACCGCATCCGCAGCGCAGCAACCGCATCCGCAGCCCACCTTCGCTTCTGCAGGCCAGCAACCGCTTACACAGCCGCTTCCACCGCCAAGCAACCGTTTCCGCCGCCAAGCAACTGCTTCCGCCGCTTCGTAGGCTCCTTGTTTGGCTGCTCGTAGGCTCCTTGGTTGGCTGCTTGTGGGCTCCTTGGTTGGCTGCTCGTAGGCTCCTTGGTCCTGTTTTAAGAAAAACACAAACAAGAATTAGTACATATTCTTCTGAATCAAAATCTCAAACGAAAGACACAATTTTGCAGAAAACGGCAAAACCCAAGGATGAACAATGCAATGGCTGTAAACTTACTTGACAGCTTCCATGGCCTCGCTTCCGCAGGCCAGCAACCGCCTCCGCCGCCCAGCTTCTGCTTCCGCAGCCCAGCAACCGCATCCGCAGCGCAGCAACCGCATCCGCAGCCCACCTTCGCTTCTGCAGGCCAGCAACCGCTTACACAGCCGCTTCCACCGCCAAGCAACCGTTTCCGCCGCCAAGCAACTGCTTCCGCCGCTTCGTAGGCTCCTTGTTTGGCTGCTCGTAGGCTCCTTGGTTGGCTGCTTGTGGGCTCCTTGGTTGGCTGCTCGTAGGCTCCTTGGTCCTGTTTTAAGAAAAACACAAACAAGAATTAGTACATATTCTTCTGAATCAAAATCTCAAACGAAAGACACCATTTTGCAGCCTGATTAAGCATTAAAAGGTTAAAATGGCTAAACGGTTAAACTTACCACAGTGTAGCTGCTTCCTTAAGATCATCTCTTCTTAGTTGCTTAGCTCCAATGGCTTCGTAGGTTGCTCCTTCTTCGCCATTTGCATCTTCATTGTCCTGTTTAAGAAAAAAAAATACAAATCAAGTCAGTATCTAATCTTCAGAATCAAAATCTCAAAGGACACCATTTGCAGCCAAATCAAGAAGAAAGCGTTAACAGGGTTAAACAGTAAACTTACCACTGCGTTGAGCTGCTTGCTTGGGTTGGTAGCTTGGCTCCTTGGTTGCTCCGGCCTTGAATAATCCGCTCCTTGGTTAATCAGCTCCAGTTGCAGATCCGCCTCCACACACAACGTGATCCTTATTGCTGAAAACGGGGACACAGAAGAGGGCTCGAAGTTAGTAAACAGCAAGACAAGACGAAAAACAAAGGAAAAAAACGAACAAGCATACAACAAATGCGAAAATTGAAAAGCGATGAATATGAAAACGACAAACGAAAACGAGGGCGGACGTCCATGGTCACGGGCTGCAGCCTTCAGAGGGAGGATCTAATCTAGCCACCCGACTACCCAACCGAGGAGGATCTTCGTCCGGCTGCAGCCGTATGACCAGAGGGACGGTGGAAACAAGATTCATGAATGGTCGGGTTGTGGATGATGATGATGATGATGATGATGATGATGATGATGATGATGATGATGATGATGATGATGATGATGATGATGATGATGATGATGATGATGATGATGATGATGATGATGATGATGATGATGATGATGATGATGATAATGATAGCGAGGAAATTGAAACGAGAGCGAGGAAAAAAGAAAAGAAAAGGGAAGCAACACTTCCCGATCAAACGCGGCAGCGTGATGAAACGCGGCAGCACCCCGTCCATCCTGTCAGACCGCGTCCCACCGCGTCACACCGCCGGCCACCGCGCCAGACCGCTTCAGAGCAGAACGTCCAACATTTGAAATGGAGAGCAGCAAGTTTGGATGCAGATTCTTCATTGGACTTGATGGAGAGCAGCAAGTCTTTGTACCTGCGAATATACAAACACAAGAGTCAGAAATCATAAGTATACGTGGAAATTTTCAAAGAACAAGTACATCCAAATAGATATAGTGCGTTAAAGTCAAATTAGGTGAACATAAAAATCTCGTGCTTACCTCTGGAAATCGAAAGGGCAAGCTGTGTCAGACTTATATGCTATAGTCTGTGTAGGCTGTAGTGAGGTAGACAATATGGGGTACAACACTTTTAGGTTTTCCTACTTGTACCCACCTGTTTCCTAGTGCATTCATTCCTTGTTCTTATTCTCACATGGCATTAGAGCAGAATCGTTCCTAGGGCCCACCGAACGTTCCGCCCTGCCCTAACTGAAATATTTTTTTTTAGCTGCCCCTGCAGCCGCGCTGCCCTTGCAGCCGGCGTGCTCCCCCTGCGACCGTGCTGCCCCTGCAGCCGTGCCCGCCCGTGCAGCCGTGCCTGCCCCTGCAGCCCGTGGGCGCTGCCTCTGCATCAGTGCTTGCCCCTGCAGCCCGTGGGTGCTGCCCCTGCAGCCAGCGCGCTGCCCTGCCGAGCCGCGTGTCGCCCGTGGGCGCTGCCTCTGCCCTGCCAAGCCGCGTGACGCCCGTGGGCGCTGCCTCTGCGACCCTCGTGTCGCCCCCCGCTGCCCCGTCGCACTGCCCTGGTAAGCCGCGCGCGACCCCCCGCTGCCACGTCGAGTCGCCCTGGGGAGCCACGCTCGGCCCCCCGCTGCCCCGTCGCGACGCCCTGGGGAGCCGCGCTCGGCCCCCGCTGCCCCGTCGCGACGCCCTGGGGAGCCGCGCTCGGCCCCCGCTGCCCCGTCGCGACGCCCTGGGGAGCCGCGCTCGACCCCCCGCTGCCCCGTCGCGACGCCCTGGGGAGCCGCGCGCGGCCCCCCTCCCCGCTGCTCCGTCGCGGCGCCCTGGGGAGCCGCGCTCCGTCCCCCTCGCTGCAGCCCGCGAGCCGCCTCTGCAGCGCCGAGTGCGACCTGCCAAACCCTAAAATAAATAATTAATTAAAAAAAAAAAAGAGAGAGAGGAGCCCTAGGTGTTGCTGCCCTAGGTGCTACTGCTGCTACTGCTGCTACTGCCGGCCGCCCCTGCCCCGCCCTGCAGCAGCTCACGTCGCGGCCTTGCCCCGCCCTGCAGCAGCTGCCGTTAGGGCCCCTTCCCCGCCTTGCAGCAGCTGACGTCGCGGCTCTGCCCCGCCCTGCAGTAGCTGCCGTTGGGGCCCCTGCCCCGCCCTGCAGCAGCTGACGTTGCGGCCCTGCCCCGCCCTGCAGCAGCTGCCGTCGCGGCCCGGCCCCGCCCTGCAGCAGCTGCCGCAGAGCTCCCTGCTGCGGTCGCGGCCCCGCCCTTCAGCAGCTACCGCGGAGCCCTCGCCCTGCAGTGGTAGCGGCCTCACCGTTGCCGCCGTCGTACGCCTGCCCTTCTCGCCACTGGTGAGCACTGCCCTGCCCGTACTGCTGTTACTGCTGCTCCTGCTGCTACTGCTTTTTCTACAACTACTGCTGCTCCTAGCGTGGCCAGATGCAGCTTTAGCGCCGTCCGCGTGAATCCCTCACGCCCCAGCAGCTTCGTGACTGGTACACTAGCTGGGGTTGTAGGGGTGGCCGCGCTGCTACTACTGCTACTGCTGCTACTACTGCTACTACTGCTACTACTGCTACTGCTGCTACTGCGGCTACTACTGCTACTACTGCTACTGCTGCTACTGCTGCTACTGCGGCTACTACTGCTACTGCTGCTCCTGGCGGTGGCCAGATGCAGCTCCAGCGACGTCCGCGTGAGTCCCTCACGCCCCAGCAGCTTCGTGAGTGGTACGCTAGTTGGGGTTGTCGGGGTGGCCGTAGTGGGAGTCGTCCTGGAGTGAGTAGTTCGGGAGCTTCTTGTAGTGGCCAGGTGCAGCTGCAGCGTCGCCCGCTCGCGGTCCTTTCGCCCCAGCAGCTTCGTGAGTGGTACGCTTAGCGTGGAGGGTCACGGGGTACTGCTCGCTGCCCATACGTGATTCGCACTGGTGCTCGGACAGGTCAGCCTTGCGGGACGTTTGGTCATACAGAGTCCCGCTGCTTCGCTCGTCTGAGCGACGCCTGGCGTACTGCGTCTGGCGACGCGGCTGAGCTCCCCGACTGGGTGGAGCTGCTTAGGCAGAGGGTAGATATCTATGCTCTTGACTCTGATGCTATCCTCACTGCCATGTATGCGTTGCCTACTAGTGCTGAGGGTGCCTGTTACCTGTGTGTGCCGCCTGACCCCGGTATCCAGTCTGCTGCTCTAGGTGCTGGTGAGGCTGCTGCTCTAGGTGCTGGTGCGTCTCCTGCTCCAGGTGCCGATGAGGCTGCTGCTCTAGGTGCTCGTGAGTCTACTGCTCCAGGTACTGGTGAGTCTGCCCTCTCTGGTGCTGCGCCTGCTGCGATCTTCCACACCTTCACCCTTGACTCGGGAGCTTCTCGCTCCTTCTTTCGAGACCGCACCACACTCACGCCGCTTAGTCGGCCGGTTGCAGTCTCCCTGGCAGACCCCTCTGGGGGTCCTGTCCTTGCCCACTACTCCACTGTCCTACCGTGTCCGGCGGCCCCTTCTGGCTCCCTGTCAGGTCTTTACCTCCCCTCGTTCTCTACGAACTTGGTGAGTGGTGCTGACCTACAGGATGGGGGGGTGAACCAGTTCACTCCTACGACCCACTGCACGTGTTCTCGGACGGGCCGACACTTGGCCACGTTTACCCGTCACCTGTACACACTCACTACCGAGTCTCCTTTGGTTCCTGCGTCTGGTCAGGTAGCTGCGTCGAGTCAGGTGTTTGCTGCAGCGTCCAGGTCTGGTCCTGAGTCTGCCCCCTGCTCGTGTCGTCTCTTGTCTCACCAGACTCTCCTCTGGCACCACCGCCTTGGTCACCCCTCCCTGCCTCGTCTCCGGGGCATGGCCTCCCGTGTCCTTGTCTCTGGTCTGCCCCGGTCCCTCCCTCCCCTTCCCCCGGGGCCTGCCCCTACCTACGTTCCCTGCGTCGAGGGGCGGCAGCACGCCGCTCCTCACTCCTCCGAGTTTCCTCCGACAGAGGCTCCGCTGCAGACTCTCCACATGGACGTGTGGGGCCCAGCCCGCGTCCGTGGACAGGGTCACGAGCGTTACTTCCTTCTGGTGGTTGACGACTACTCGCGTTACACCTTAGTCTTCCCCTTGCGCCGCAAGGGTGAGGTCACTGAGGTGTTGATCGACTGGATCCGCGCTGCCCGTCTCCAGCTCAGAGAGAGTTTCGGCTCGGACTTTCCTGTTCTGCGTCTGCACTCTGACAGAGGTGGAGAGTTTTCCTCCGACCTTCTGCGAGCCTTCTGTCGTGCGGAGGGCATCCGCCAGACGTTCACACTTCCGGCCTCTCCACAGCAAAATGGGATTGCTGAGCGCCGCATTGGCATGATCATGGACGTCGCTCGTACGTCCATGATCCATGCGGCTGCTCCCCATTTTCTGTGGCCGTTCGCGGTTCAGTACGCGGCGCATCAGATCAACCTTCAGCCTCGGGTCTCGATGCCGGAGACCTCCCCCACTCTGCGGTGGACGGGGAAGGTTGGCGATGCGTCTGCGTTCCGTGTCTGGGGATCTCGAGCTTTCGTCCGCGACTTGTCTACGGACAAGCTGTCCTCCCGTGCTGTTCCCTGCGTCTTCCTTGGCTTCCCCCCTGACGCGCCTGGTTGGCAGTTTTACCACCCCACCTCGCGCCGTGTTCTGTCCTCCCAGGACGTCACGTTTGACGAGTCGGTGCCATACTATCGTCTCTTCCCCTACCGCGCTGCCCCCCTCCCCCCCCCGCCGCTCTTCCTCGTGCCAGGTCCCCCCCCGGTAGACCCCCTTCCCCCTCAGGGTCCTGCCCCCTCAGGTGTGTCTCAGGTAGACGCAGTCGAGCCTGTCGAGGTAGCTGTTGACTCTGGTGCTGCTCGGGGTGCTGCGCCTGCGGGTGCCGGGTCTGGGGTGCTGAGCATGAGCGTGCGGAGCCTGGGGGTGCTGGGACTGGGGGTGCTGAGTCTGGGGGTGCTGAGCCTGGGGTTGCTGAGTCTGGGGGTGCGGAGCCTGGGGGTGCGGAGCCTGGAGGTCCTTCGGATGCTTCGCCTCGGCAGGAGCTACCCTCTCCACAGGAGCTGCGCGAGTGGTTTGCTCGGCGTTGGAGTCGTGCTGCTGGAGCTGGTGTTGCTGCTGGTGCTGGAGGTTCTACTGCTGCTGGGGGTGCTGGAGCCACGGGTCCCGGAGGTGCTCGTACTGGAGGTACTGGAGCTGCTGGGCCTGGTGGTTCTACTGGTGCTGGACCTGCTGGAGGAGCTGGAGCTGGGGGTGCTGCTGGAGTAGGTGCTGCTGGGGGTACAGGAGCCGGTGCTGCTCCGTCTTCTGGTGGTCCTTTTGGCGCTGGAGCTGTTGGAGGTTCTGGAGCTGGAGGTGCTGCTGGAGCTGGAGCTGGAGGTTCTGGAGCTGGAGGTGCTACTGGAGCCGGTGCTCCTGGAGCTGCTGGAGTTGGCGGTGCTGGTGCTGCTGGAGGTGCTACTGGAGCTGGTGGTGCTGCTGGAGTCGGAGCTGACGCTGGGGGTGCTGGTGCTGTCCCTGCTGGTTCTGGAGGTGCTGCGCGGCCTCGGCCGTACTTCGTTCCCCTCCTTGAGCAGGTTCTTGGCCTTCCGCCTTCTTCTGGTCCTTCTCCTGCCTTAGAGTGTCCACCGTCCCTCCCGTCCGAGTCACAGTTACAGCTGGCCTGTCCACTTCCTGCCCCTTCTCCCTACACTGGTCCTACTGGAGGTCTTGCTGAGCGTCGTGCGCCTGCGTCTCGCCCTGCGTCGCCTGTTCGTGCTGTTCGCGCTAGTCGTCGTGTTCCGCGTAAGCGTCCTCCTGCGGTCCCAGGCACGCATCAAATGGCACTGCGTCCTTCCACTGCTCCGCAGCGTGTCCCTTTGCCGTCTCCTCCAGAGTCCTCTCTTCCTGCTCTTGCTGACCCGGGGTCTGACTCTCTTCGTGCTGCCAGTCCTACTGTCACGCGTCTCCTGGCTACTGTTGTTACTGACCCTTCCTTTGAGTCCACTGCTGCGTCTGCCTTAGTTGCTGAGCTTGTCGGCTTCGCTGCTCACTGTCGTCTAGACTACGCCGCGAGTCTTGTTGCTGAGTCTGAGTCTGTCTGTCCTCCGTCCGTCGGGGGTGAGTGTGCTCTTAGCACGGACGTCCTTGAGGACATGCAGGAGGAGTTCCAGTGTTTTGCTGCTGCTTTGCCTCATCTCGTGTCCATGCTGATTGCCCCTGAGGGAGACCCGGATGCACCAGACATCCCGACTCCTCGATCGTACGCTGAGGCGATCGAGGGTCCCTACTCCTCACAGTGGCAGTCAGCCATGGACGCAGAGATGGCTTCCTGGAAGTCCACAGGCACCTACGTCGACGAGGTTCCCCCACCTGGGGCGAACATCGTCAGTGGCATGTGGATTTTCAGGGTGAAGCGGCCGTCGGGTTCTCCGCCTGTCTTCAAGGCGCGTTACGTGGCTCGAGGGTTCAGTCAGCGGCAGGGAGTTGACTACTTTCAGACCTTCTCTCCCACCCCGAAGATGACCACTCTTCGGGTGCTGCTGCACATAGCCGCTCAGCGTGACTACGAGATTCACTCTCTTGACTTCACCACAGCTTTCTTGCAGGGCAGCCTGCACGAGGAGATCTGGCTGCGCCGCCCACCTGGCTTTACTGGGTCATTTCCTCCTGGTACCCAGTGGAGCCTCCGGCGGCCAGTCTACGGTCTCCGCCAGGCGCCCCGTGAGTGGCACGACACACTGAGGACTACACTTGCGGCTCTTGGGTTTGCTCCTTCTACTGCCGACCCATCGCTGTTTCTGCGCACCGACACCTCTTTGCCGCCGTTCTACATCCTCGTGTACGTCGACGACTTGGTCTTTGCCACTGCTGACACTGCTGGACTCGCCCACGTGAAGTCCGAGCTGCAGAAGAGACACACGTGCACAGACCTGGGTGAACTGCGTAGCTACCTTGGCTTGCAGATCACCCGGGACAGAGCACAGCGCACCATTACCCTGACTCAGTCACACATGGTGCAGCAGGTCCTTCAGCGCTTCAACTTCACGTACTCCTCGCCTCAGGCCACTCCTCTGTCTACTCGCCACTCGCTCTCAGCTCTGCCTTCGGATGAGTCCATAGAGCCGAGTGGCCCGTACCCAGAGCTTGTTGGCTGCCTCATGTACCTGATGACCTGCACACGACCTGACCTTGCATACCCTCTTAGCATCATGGCACGCTATGTTGCTCCTGGGAGACACCGACCAGAGCACATGGCTGCAGCGAAGAGGGTGTTGTGCTACTTGTGCAGTACGTCGGGCATAGGGCTAGTGCTTGGAGGGCGGCGTTCAGTGGTCCTCACAGGTCACGCAGATGCTTCTTGGGCTGACGACCATGCTACGCAGCGGTCGTCACAGGGTTACACCTTCAGCCTTGGTTCTGGCTCTGTTTCGTGGCGGTCTACCCGCTCGTCTTCTGTTCTCGGCTCCAGCTGTGAGGCTGAGATCTACGCGGGGGCCATGGCTGCACAGGAGCTACGCTGGCTCACCTACCTGCTGACTGACCTAGGAGAGCCGCCTCGTTCTCCTCCAGTTCTGTACGTAGACAACAAGGCCATGTTGGCCTTGTGTCGGGAGCACAGACTGGAGCACAGAACGAAGCACATTGCTCTTCGCTACTTCCTTGCTCGTGAGCTACAGCAGCGTGGTCAGCTGCGGCTTGCTTACGTGGCCTCTCAGGCCAACACTGCTGATATCTTTACCAAGGCACTTCAGCCTTGTGATCATCAGCGCTTTTGTACGATGCTAGGTCTTGTGCCTACTTGGCCTCACTTGCTTACTTCTTGACCTTGCTTGTACTGTGTTCTATATATACCTGCACTTGTTTGTTTACCTTTATATATATGATCCTGCATGTGAACTGGCCTTGTGGCCTTGAACCTGTGCTCGGAATGTGTGGTGACGTTGTGATCCACCCTGAGCTTGCTTTGCTTTGCTTGACTAATCTTGTGACCCCTTGTTCTCCCCCACTTTGCCTATGGGGGTGTGTCAGACTTATATGCTATAGTCTGTGTAGGCTGTAGTGGGGTAGACAATATGGGGTACAACACTTTTAGGTTTTCCTACTTGTACCCACCTGTTTCCTAGTGCATTCATTCCTTGTTCTTATTCTCACAAGCTGGGCGGGGGGGAGCGTGCGGATTGATGGAGGCGGTGGTGGGCGATCTCCGGGTGTTGTCCAAATGAAGCGTCACTGGACTTGTCTTTGTACCTGCGAAAAACGAACACAGAAGAGTCAGTTATCGGAAGTTTACATGAATAGATTCTGAAACAATGACTTAAAAAAAAAAACGTCGAAGTCTGAACAAGTAGGCATAACAACTTTATGATTACCCTTGGAGATCGAAGGGTAGACTGGGCGGGGGGCGGGGGGCGGTGTGCGGATGGAGCGGGGTTGCAGGTTGGCGATGGGGGCGAATGGTTGGTGGGCGATCTCCAGGGTTTATGAGCTTAGACGAATGAAGCTCGTTGATGACGGGAAATATGGTGGGCGACCTCCTGGGCGCATGGTGGTCGGGCGAATGAAGCTCGTTGATGACGGAAATTATGGTGGGCGACCTCGGGAATTATGAGCTTAAAGCCTTGCGTTTCTAAGTCCTTGTGTTATATACATGCTACACCCTGTTGCTCACTCAACCGCCCACACTGAACACGCCCACTGCCACTCCATACGCCCAATGGGCGACATTCACAGCCAACGGCCCGCTCGTTACTGGCCCACGACAAAACCAGGATATTCTTGACATCGAATAAGTTATTCGAGTTTCCCAGACAGAACACGCTGGGCTACCCACAATGATAGCAACTGTTCTACATTAAGTCCCATTTTGCCCCTAGAGGGCACGTGCCCGAGAGAGGAGCACAGAGGAAGATGGGAAACGGGACTGAAATGGGCATCAGGTGTACCAAACAAACAGGCTGTGTGTCTAGAGGCACTACTTTCTCCTTGCGGGTACGTTTGTGTCCCTGCTGTGTGAGGAGCCTCCCTGGACATACTTAGAGCAAGGTGAGCATGGAGCAGATGAGGTGGTTGGGGCACTACAATTCGAAATCCACAGTGTCAGATTGCAGGAACCCTTTGGGATGTGGTGGTCACCACCACCTGCTGCGGGTCAAAAATAACATTTTGGGTAGACATACATCATGCAATGTATTTCCCAAATTTCAGCAAACCTGAAATTTGGGCCTGTGTCACTGCGTTGCCTTGAGATTTTTTCGAAGTTGTTGCCAGCATAAAACATTTGCGTTTCAAAAAAGCACGGCACGCGCCACGGGGGACAGGCGGGAAGAGGACGAGTTTGCCGGCGGAACTGTTTGTGAAATCCGAGGGGAAATGGGCTGCAGGGTGCCAGGTAGATGTACGCGCGACCTTCGTAGATGTCGTCCACCAATCATTGCGAGCGGTACTTACAGCGTATAAACTTACGACGACACTGGTTGGACAACGACTCGTCAGGAGATCAAGGACGACACATTGTGAAGAGGATAAGATCACAAACAACTCGTTTTGGTCCACAAAAACCACATAACGGAGGCGCGTTTTGTGACGACTGTTCAAATTTGGGGGACAGAAATGCGGGAAAGGGGAGGCTCAAAGGCTGCGTGTTGACGTCGCAGCACAAACGCCACCCAAGGAGGAACCATCGTCAAAGTCTTGCGAAGCTGCCTTGATGGACTTGCTGACAAACGACACAAGCGACTACACAGGATGCTCAGCTGTTGCACGCAAATTTGGTCTGCCCAATTCCGTCAGCCTGCCCAATTGCAGTTGGTACCAGCCAGTTGCACGCACGTTACAAGCCCAAATTTTGATCGCAGCCGTTGAACATCCACCTTATCACGCTGGCATCCGTCCGTTCGTGAGATATTTTGAGACGCTTGTTACACCTGCCCACTACTGTCCCGATTTTGCCCGTGGCGAATGTTTGCGAGTTAGGCGAAATGCTTGTTGCTCACTAATCACCCAAATGACGAGAAAAGTTGTGGGTATCTAGCGGGCATCCTGTGTACGGAAATTATCGGCCGTAGTTCCGCGCCAAAAGTGCTGACATGCTGGCGAAGGTGTTGTTGCGTACTGAAAAGATTCGCCACATCATCAAATCGGAGACACCTCGACCCTCCACGCACAACCTAATCAGACCAGGTCAAACGCTAAAATGCTATCCGATATGAAAGCTTCAACTCAAAATATGGATCAATAATGCCAACTTGGCGCATTTTTTGTAATTGCAGACTATCTAATAAAATAAAGACATCTGAGTGTAGGTGCTATGGATTTTACAAGGCTAGGTGAACGAAATTCATCATCTCATGCATCCATGCAGGAAGGAAGTGTGAGTTCACCTCTAATCGCAGAATCGATGGCCAGTGTTATTGACGAGACAGTGCAAATCAGACAAAGGCGCTGAATAAAAGATGAACGAATAATCAAGCAGCCAGCCCTAAGTTTGCTCATGAAACATCTTAAAACATAAAGAACTGAATGTATGTGTTTCTGAATGACATCCTGAATTGACAGGTCTTAACCTGACATGCCCATGGAAGGGCCGTTACTGGATGGAACCTCAAAAGGATTTCATGACTTTTTACCCTGGAATCACAGGACCTAGTCCAGGGTAACAGTGGCTCGTGTGAACGTATAAGCAACACCTGTGGGCGGGTGCAGCAGCACGCAGAAGGCAGCATCGGCAAATAAGGAATGCACTCTACCTGCGCAGCAAGTGCGGTGGGCGTGTGGCATGTGTGGCATTCGTGGCGTGTGTGTGGGTGGCAGCGCGGCGCGTGTGCAGTCCAGTCAAGGCAGCGCTGCTGCTCAAATGCAGGATCAACCTGGCAGCACCATGTGCCGCCTCTGCCGTGGGCAGCCATGCCATCACGACCCTACAGGCTGCTCCACGCCTCTCACAACTCCCTCCATCGCACCTCCTGCCCTCACCTCCCCTCCCTCTGCTGCGCCCCTCGCTTCCCCCGCTCCACCGCTGCCAGCCACCACAGGCCTGCCGCCTCTCCTCGACCGCTGGCGCTTCAACCCCCACAGCTCGCCCGCTGATCCCCCCTTCCTGCCCTCCGTACGCTCCTCATCGCCCTCCAACCCCGCTTCTGCTTCCTCCTCCATCTCGCGCCCTCTCTTCTCTGCACCTCTCTTGACCGCTTTCAACTCCCCGCCACCACCACCACCACCCAAGTCACCACTCACAACTGTTCCCCCACCCTTGTCACCGCTCCCCAGCAGTCCACCTCCCAAGTCACCACTCCCAACCGTTCCACCACTGCTGCCAGCAGCAGCAACAGCAGGAGGGGCAAGAGGCGAACAGGCTCTGCTTGGGTCGTCAGAAGCGTCTTGGCAAGGCACACCGGCAGCAGCAGAAGCAGCAGCCGAGGCAGCAGCGGCAGCGGGCACAGCAATGCCTTCCAGAGCAACTGCCTGGGCGCCCACAGCAGCGCCAGCAAGGTCCTTCACCAGCCGCGTCCTGTCCCTCTGCTTGCCCCTCTCCTCCGCGCCCTCGTCGCCCGCCAGCACCACAGCGGGCGAGCCACACGCGGACAGCGGCGCCTCAAGCAGCGGGTGCGGGGAGAAGGTGGTGCTGCCAACAGGGCTGGCACCCGTGCCGGGGCTGTAGGGTAGGTACGGGCTCGTGAAGCGGGGGCTTGCGTTGAGGTAGGGACTAGCGAGCAGGTGAGGGCTGGCAGTGACATATGTGGTGCAGTGCAGGTGGGGGCTGGCAGCGAGGTGTGGCAGGGGGGTGGCGGCGGAGGCAGGGCTGCTGGTGGCCAGACACGCGCTGCCTGCCTGCCCTGCCCTGCTCGCCCCTCCCCCTCCCTCCTGCTCGCCTCCATGCCCCCCGTCCCTCCCTCTGCCGCCATGTCGCCAGCCTTCCAAGCCTGTCTCATCGCCACCACCGCTGCCCGCACCACCACTGCCATCCTGTGACGTGCTCCCATCCGCGCCCCCCGCTCCTGCCGCGTGCCCCTCCAGGTTTGGCCCGTCCACCTCTATGTCCTCGCCGCCTCCCTGGCCCCCACTCTCCTCCTCGCTCTCCTCCTCTCGAAACAGGCTTGAGAAGCTGTCACTCTCACTCTCACTCGCACTCTCCTCGTCGCCCTCACTCCCACCACCACCCCCACTTGTACCCTCTCGCCCGTGCATCCCCTCACTACTGGCACCAGACCACAGCCCGTCTGTCTCCTGCTTACCACCGCTGCTCTTCGCCCCACCAGCTGCACCCACGGCCCCTACCTGCCCCTCGCGGCACTGCGACAGTGCGGACCCGCCTCCTCCCCTGCCGCCACCTCGTTTCCTCTCGCTCGCCTGCGCCTCCCTCTGCCTTGCGCCACCTTCCATTGCACCCTCCTTCACCTGCTTCTGCTCTTCAGTCTTTTCCACCCTTTCTCCCCCCCTCTCTTTGCCATCAGCCCCGCTCACCCGCGCTGCACCGTCCTGCTTGTCCTCCGTCCGCCCCGCCCTCCTCCCGCCTCCCCCTTTCATGCCACCACGCTTTCCCCCATGCCTCCATCTCCCCCGTCTGTCGCGCTGCTGTTGCATGCTCCTCTGCTTATCCCCCTGCTGCGCTGCCCTATCTCGCTCGCGTGGACCCCCATTCGCCGCCCCTCTCTTTCTTCCTCTGCCCTTCCCTCCCCCTCTTCCCACGACCCCTCTCCTCTTCCGATCTTCATCCAATGTCCCTTTCCCCTTTACACCCTTCTCCTCTGTCCCATATCCCTCCTCTCCCCTCTCCTCTCCCCCCACTCTGCCCTCTCCCCTTTCTCCCCGCTCTCCCCGCTCTCCCTTTCCTCCCCTTTCTCCAGCTGCTCCTTCCCTCCTCTGTCTCTTTGTGTCGACCCCTTGTTGCTCCTCCCTCTCCCGCTTCCCCCTGTGCGCCACAGCATTTGCACCCACTCCCCATCCTGCCTCCTCCTCCTCCTCCTCAGCATCTGGTCCCACCCTCTCTCCCTCGGCCCGTGCACACTGTCTCTCCTTCGCCCTCCGCTCACCACTGCTGCCAACCCCAGCCCCATTGTCACCACCACCAACACCACCACCAGCAGCACCAGCAGCACCACCAGCAGCACCACCAGCAGCAGCACCAGCAGCACCCGCACCTACCTCTAATTCCTCCTCCTTCAGGCCTGGTTGGTCCTTGTGCCCCTCCACCTTGTGCCCCTCCACCTTCCCTGCCGTACCACCGCCCTTGTCACTTCCAGCCTCTGCCGCCCCACTGCCCCTCCCCCCCCCAACCTCCGCAGTCTCCACACTGCCGCCTGCCCGCCTGCCTGGTGGCATGGCCTTGCGGGATGCGCTGGGGGGGGCACTGGGGCGAGGGGTGCGCGGAGTGGGGGGGATCAGTGGGGGGGGAAGGGCAGGGAGGGCGGGGAGGGCGAGGGGGGGAAAGGAGAGGAGGCGGCGGGGCACGGTGCGCTGAGTGCGCTCCTTCTTGGGCGAGGGGAAGGGCGGCTGGGCGAGGGCGTGCAGGGGCAGAGGGGCAGGTGGCAGTCGCACAGTGCTGGTGGTGGCAGCATTGGGGAGAATTCTCACTGCACCTGCCGGCTTCTCTTCTCCATCCCCCACCCGCTCTTCCTCCTCCTCCTCGTCCTCCGGCTTCGCACCCTTCACTCCACCGTCACCATTGCCTTCACCACTACCACCACCTCCACCACAATCGCCAGTAACCAGCCCCACCATATCAACCGCTTTGTTCACCTCTCCATCGCTTTGCACCTGCGCCCCCCTGCCTGTCCCATCCGCACCCGTGGCCACGTGAATCGAGGGAACAGCCTCTCCCGCTGGCAGCACACATGGAGTGCTCACCTGCCCACTCCGTTTTCCCAACGGCCCCAACGCCTCACACACACTCGACGCACCCCCCTCGCTGCCCTCCCTCCCACTCTTTCTCCCGTCACCAACCTCCTCCTCGTCCTCACCTGCGTCCTCTCCACCCGCCAGCTGCGAGTGGTGGTGAGCACCCAGGTCCCAGCTGCCACTCGCGCCCTCACTTCTCCCACCCAAGCTCTCACTCTCGCTGTCGTCGCTGCTGCTGCTGTCCGTCTCACGGCCCATCCCTGCCTCCCCATCCCCATCCGCACTGCCGCTACCACTGCCAGCGCCAGCACCGCTGCTGCAGGCACGGGTGCAGGAGAGCGGCAGGGGGGTGCCGGTGTGGGAGCAGCGCCACTGCCGCATGAGTCCTGCCAGCTGCCCGCCGCCCTCCTGCTGCACGCACCACTGCCACCCACCGCGCTCAGCGCTGTCATCCCCCTTGCCGCCCCCCTGGCCCCCCTGTCCCTCTTGCTCCCCCTGCTCCCCTCGCTGCTCATGTTGCGGGGAGGCCGAGAGGTTGAGGGCGGGTGCAGCAGGCGGCAGGGTGCCCCCCTGTGTGTGAGCAAGAGGCTGCCATGTGTGTGAGGCGGGCAGCAGCGAGGCCGGGATGTCACAGCGCACGCTCACAGCACAGCCCGCCCCCGTGCAGGCGACACCAGCGTTGCAGGCCAGGGGGAGAGCGGGGCTGGCGAGGCGGGCAGGGGGTAGAAACCAGGCTGTGCGGTGGTGGGCAGGGAGAGGTGCACACGGCACGTCAGCCCCGTGCAGTGGGAGAGTGCGGGCACTGGGGAGAGTTCCCGTGTCAGTCCGTGCGACTGTAACGGTGCTACTGTCTGCGGGAGTCACTGTGTCAGTTCCTGTGGCTGTATCTGTGTTAGTCCCTGTGTGTGTCTCATTGGGTGCAGCAGTGGGGCACGAGAGCACGGGAAGCAGCCCCACAGCCACACGCGGCACCAGCACTCTCTCCAGTGCCGCCAGCAGCCCCACCGACAAACCCACCCTGCCTGCTGCCGCCGCCGCTGCTGAAGCTGCCGCTACACCGGCACGTCCCACCCCTCTGCTGCCACTTGTCATGGCGCCATTGCCCTGTGCGGGTGGAACAGCAGCAGGAAGGGGGCCGTCCAGCTTGCGGCGCTTGATGGCAGGCAGCAGGGCGTGCGGCGGAATGACCACCCCCCACTCGTTGATCACCACCTTCACCCGCGCCTTTGCCTTCACTGCCCCTCCCTCCCTCTCCTCCCCCCCCAGCCCTACCCCTCGTCCCCTCTCCTCACTACCGCCCGCTCCCATGCCTGCTGGCGGCAACACAGCAGTGCCACCCACAACCCCTGGCCGTGCTGCCACAGCAGCAGCGGCAGCTGAAACAGCACAGTCAGCGGCAGTGGCAGCGAGCTGCTGACCACTGCTCAAGGCAGGTCTGCTCACACCCAGGCTCCCCCAGGTTGCTGCTGCTATGCCAGGGGCGGTGGGCAGCGCAGAGGGGGCAGCAGGGGGCGGCAGGGGGAGTAAGGAATGGAGCAGGGAAGGAGGGGTGCCGGCAGGAGGAGCACCCAGCAGGGAGGGCGAGATGGATGGGGACGGCAACAGCCCCCCTGGCGTCGCCAGCAGCCCCGCCCCTCCCTTGCCAGGCGACTCCCCCTGCTGCTGCTGCTGCGGGTGAGGGCTCTCAGAGCGGTGGTTTGAGGAGCTGGGCGTGAGCTGCGCCTCATCCGCACGCGTGGGCTCGCGCGGAGAGGGGGCGCGTGCGGCGGGGGGCTGGAGCGGGCGGGGGCGGGCGGGGTGCAGAAGCAGACGGCGCTGAATGACCCAGGAGGCGGGCTGCATGGCGTCTGTAGGCAGCTCGCCCCGCTGGTAGAAGTGCTCCTCCTGGTGGGGCGCATGTAGGGACGGATAGAGAAGGAAGTGGGGGGCTTGTTTGTAAGCGGAAGGGGGGTTTGTTTGTTTGTAAGGGGTTGGTTTGTTTGGTAAACGGAGAGATGGAGAGAGAAAGGGGGCACAAGATACTCTTGTGCACAACGGGGGCCATGGGATGAGAGGAGGTGCGTGTGCCATGCAGCAGGTGCGGACACGGTGAGCATAAGAGGAGTGGTGGGGTGCTGACCTGAGCAGGGGAGAGGTGGTGGCGGAAGCAGCGGGCGGAGGGCAGGGGGCAGCGCCCCGCCACGTGGTCCAAACACAGGGATGTCGCCCTGTCCCGCGTGCGCCTGGGGGGGGAGGGGGGAGGACGGGGGGGGGAAGTGGGGAACGGGGCGGGGAGAGGTGACGTGAGCGAGAGGAGGGCGTGCAGGCAGCAAGGAGGGCGTGCAGGCAGCAAGGAGGGCGTGCAGGCAGCAAGGAGGGCGTGCAGGCAGCAAGGAGGGCGTGCAGGCTATGGGGTCGCACCGCTTGGGGTGGTGGCGGGAGCAGGAGGCGGGGTTCTTGCAGGCGCCGTATCTCAGCGCGTCCACACACAGCCGCAGCCTCCTCGCCCTCGCCTCCCCCTCCCCTGCGCCCCTTCCGGCATTAACAGGGGCAGCAGCAGTGGAGGGCGAGAGTGGGTCACAGACGGAGTGAGGTGATGCAGCAGGCGAGGGCGTGGGTCTGCCTTGCTGGTGGCGGGGCGAGCTCAGGGGGCGAGGGAGAGCGCGCGAGTGGGAGTGGGAGTGGGAGAGAGTGCGGGGGTGCTGCTGGGGCTCCTGCACACTGTGACCCTCATTGCCGCCCTTCTCCCTCTCCTTCTCGTTCTCTTCTCTCTCCCGATCCCTCTCCTTCCCCCTCTGCCGCTCCCTCTCCTTCTCCCTCTCCCATTCCCTCTTCTTCTCCCGCTCCCTCTCCTTCTCCCTCTCCCTCTCCCATTCCCTCTCCCTCTCCCATTCCCTCTCCTTCTCCCTCCCCCTCTCCCTCTCCCTCCCCCTTCCTGTCTCCCTCTCCTCCCTTTCCCTCTCCTTCTCCCTCTCCCTCTCATTCTCCCTCTCCCTTTCCTTTCCCTTCTCCCTCTCCCTCTCCCGCTCCCCCTCCCTTTCCCGCTCCCTCTCCCTCTCCTTCTCCCTTTCCCTCTCCTTTTCCCTCTCTCCCTCCTCCCCCTCTCTCACCCCCCCTTTCTCGTTGTCCCTCCCCTCCCTGCCCCTCTCCCCACACCGTTCCATTCCTGCGCCCCTGTCCCCTGGCCCGTCCCTTCCCTCCACCGCCCCATCTGTTGCTTCTTGTCTAGCCCCAACGCCGTTGCCACCATCGACACCCCTCCCCGGCGCCTCATCTCGCTCCTCTACAGACAACACGCGCTCGCCCTCCCTCGCAGTCCCATGCTCCCGCCCGCTACCCTGTCTGCTCACCTCTGCTCTCTCTGGCCCCTGCCCCCTCCCCTCCGCTGAAGCTGCTTCCGGGTGCTCGTGCCTGCCCTTGGGCCTCTCATTCGACCAGCCCCTCTCCCTGGATCTGCTACCATCCCACCGCTCACTCCTCTCGCTCTCCTTGAATTCATATCTTCTCCTCGCATCCTTTTCCCTCTCCTCATCCCTGTCCCTCCCCCTCGTCTCCCTCTCTGTCTTCCTCTCCCGCATTCTGTCGTCACCCCGCTCCCAGCCTCCATCCCTATCTCTGTTCCTTCCCTTCTCGCCTCTCTCTGCCTTTTCGCCTCTCTCTGCCTTTTCGCCCCCCTCCCACGTCCCTCTGTGTCTCTCTTTAGGCTTCAAGCCAGCGGAGCTCCCATACCACGCGCCTCTCTGCCTCTCCACCACTCCCTGCGTCTCGTTTCGTTGCTCATAACCAGCTGCACCACTGCTGCCCCTCCCCCTCCCACCCTGCCTCTCACTGCCCCAACCCTGGTGCCTCTCCCCTCTTCGCCTCTCCCCCTCCCTCTCATGCACCTGTGCTCTCTTGTTGTCCCTCTCCCTCTCATATTCCCTTGCCTTCTCTCTCCCCCTCACGCTCTCTCTTTCTCGATCCTTCTCTCGCTCGCTCTCGCCCTCTCTTCCCTTCTCTGTCCTTTTTTCCCTATCCCTCCCCAACTCACACATCCGCTCCCTTTCTTTCTCCTCCGCGTCTACCTCCCTCTCCTCCCGCTTATCCTTATGCCTCCGTTCCCACTGCATTTTTCTGGCTGGTTCCTGACCTTTCCCCTCCTTCTCCTCCTCCTCCTCCACCACCACCACACTGTTGGAACCTGTATTTCTTGCCCCTGCATCTGCTGTGTGCGTCGTGTAACCAACTCTCACACACGCTTTCTCATTGTCGCCTTCAACTTCACCTCCTCTCGCCCTCGCCTCCTCGGCTGCCCGCTCCTGTCCCTCAGAGTGACTGCCCTCCTTCCCTCGTCCCCATTCTCCACCTTTACCGCTTGTCTCCCTCTCCCTCTCCTCCCTTTTCCATCTCCCCTTCCTCTCCCTTTCCCGTTGCCACCGCCCCTCCCTGTGTGCCCACTCACCCTCCCTATCCCTCTCTCCTCCCATCCCTCTCTCCCTTTCTTGCCCTACTCTCACCACACATCCCTCACCGCCCCTGCTCCATTCCTCTTTCCGCTGCTGCCTGCCCTCGTCCCCCCTCGCCTGCTGCTCCTTGTCCTCCTCTCCGCCCCTTCCCTCCGTCGTCCCGCCACTGCCGCTCGCCCTAAGCCCTTGCGTGTGCGGTTCCTCTCGCCCTCGCTCTGTTACTTCCCCAGCCCCACTCATCACTCGGCTCGCCCTGCTGCCTTCCTCCTCACCGCTCCCACTCACTCGCTGCTCCCTCCACTCCAGCTTCCCACTGCCCCCCTCCTTGCTCTCCCCATCAGCCCCCTGATCGTCTGCCCGCCCACCCTCCTTCCCTCGCCCGCCCCCCGCCTCACGCTCTGCCTGTGCCTGCCCCATGCTGCGCCTCCCCTCCTCTGCTTCCCACGCTGCGCCATGCACGTCCCTGCCCTGTGCGCCTCTTCTCCTCTCGCCTGGCCCCCACAGGTGTGTGTCGCGCATGGGCACGGCCTCTAGCGCCAGAACCACCGGCATCGTCCCCTGCGCCATCACACCGCCCCCCTCACGCCCTACCACCCTGCCACCCGCCTCCCTCCCTCCTTCTCGTCTCCTCATGCCTCTGCTCCTCCGCCCCCCGCCCCCACCCTTAGAATTCTGCCCTCGAGCTACACTACACCGCACTGCACCGCCCGTTTTTCCTTTCCTCCGCCTGTGCCTGCCTGGGCTGCCCCAGGAGGGGTCGTCCTCGCCGCTGCTAGCACCACTGGCATCGCTCCTCACCTCCCCACTCGCCTCACCATCGCTCCCATCGCTCCCACTGCTGCTGCTGCACGTGCTGCTGCTGTCACTGCTCTGGCTGTCACTGCTGCTACTACTGCTGCTGCTGCTGCTGCTACTGCAAGGTGCACGGCGAGTTAGAGACGCATAACCATTTCCCTGTGCACCCCTGCGCCCCCCTGCCACACGCCTGCCACATGAACCCTCACGAGCCACAGCAGCAGCAGCAACAGCAGCAGTGCCTCTTTCACTAACGCGCTCGCTGCCCTGCCCACCGCCCGACAACAACTGCTGCCCTGCCTTGCCACCTCCCTCATCTCCCTGCCGCCTCTCTGCACCTCCACCGCCCTCTCTCATTCGTCCCTTCTGCGGAGCATTATCATTCCCCCTCCTGCCCCGCTCCTGTGATGTATGCTGTGTGTCCATGCTCTTCCCACGCCCTCTCCCCCCTCCTGCCACATGCCCATGCCCATCTCGCCTCCTCACTGGCCCCAAGCGCCCCCCTGCCCTCGCCCCTCGCTGCTTTCTCCTGCCCTCGACGTCGCTGCTACTGCTACCACCGCTGCTGCTGATGGAGCTGCTGTCGCTGTGGCTCACGCTTGACGTCGTGCTGCCCCCACTGCCCCCCTCACTGTCGCCATCACACGCGCCCTGCCCCCTGGTTGCACGCACCCCTTCACCCACCCGCCCCCCTGCTCTGCCCTGCCTGCCCGCCTCGGTGCCCTGCATTTCGCGCTCGCCCAGCTGGCCCTGCCACGCCTTCCCTGCTGCCCCCACACTCTGGCTTGCCACGCCACCCCCACCTGCGCTGCTCCCCACAGGAGCCATGCCCGGGTCTGGCAGCAGCGGAGGGGCAGCAGATGCAGCAGGCACCATCTCAGGAGCTGCAGGAGCGGCGGGAGCGGCAGGGGAAGCAGCGGCAGGAGAAGCAGGGTGGGCGGTATTGCTGTCCTCCCGTGGGACGCCAGTGCTGTGCGCGGTGGGGCTTGAAGTGGTGGGGCTGTGAGGGGTAGCGCTGGATGGGGTAGCGCTGGGAGCGGTTGGGATGGGAGGCGTTGGTGCAGCGAGGGCAGAGGCAGGGGGAGGAGGGGCGGAGCGCGGTGTAGGTGTGGATGGGCTGCCACCAGCGGGTGCAGCAGCAACTGCTCCTGAGCCTGCCGCTGCGGCCTCTGCTGCTGCCGCCCGTACCACTGAGGGTGAGGGTGCAGGCAGCAGGGGAGTCCCACTGACCGCAGCGATGGCAGGTGGTGGTGCGCAGGGCAGTACAGATGGCAGGGCAGGCGAGGCGACGGGTGAGGTGACGGGCGTGCCATGCACCCCGTTGCCAAGGGCAGCAGCAGCAGGTGTGGTTGCGGCAGGGTGCGGCATGGGGGGCGAGTCGTGAGAGGCATGGCGCGCTAAGGCTGAGTGAGAGTGGCCGTTGGCCGTGGCAGGGGGTGGGGGAGGCGGTGGCAGCGCAGCGTGTGGGGCATCGGCAGCACCTTGGCCATCCTGCCACACCACACAAACCACACGGTGTGAGCGTGGACACAACTCTAAGCATCAACAAGGAAACAAAGACAGCTGTGATCAGATAATGAAGTGGAAGCGTGTGGGTGCTGACCTGGGGGGGGGAGGCGCCGCCACAGCGGGCGTTCCAGGCGGTGAGGAGGTTGAGCAGGTAGGCGTAGTCGGGCTTGTCGGCGTACTGCAGCACCTGTAGGTGATCCGCGAACGCCTGAGGGGGGCAAGGGGGGGTGGGGCAGAGCGGCATAAGACAGCAGTTGGCGGAAGGGCTTGGATGAGGAGATGCAAGGAGAGCGATAGGTGGAAGTGTAGGTAGGAAAGGTGAGAGCAGTGCAGAAGAGTGGGGTGGTGTGGCAAGGGTGGCGATGGATGTAGCGCGAGGGACTCACAGAGAGCTCCTCCGGGAAGGCAACGGACTTGGTCATCTGCTCCGGGTGGTCAAAGAAATACAGCTTCATCTCCTTCACCCTCTCCTGTTGGCGCACACACACATGCATGCACACGCGCGCACGCACACATGCACGCACACACACACCCTCCCTCCCACCACGTGTACGCACATCATTGCACACACAGCAGGGCGAGGGAACACAGTGGATGGGGAGAACACATTAGTGAGAGGTCCAGGCATGGCAGCGACGTGCATGCAGTGATGAGCCCAATGCAGCGGTGCAAAACATGCACTCTCTTGCTACGAGCACACTGCTCACCTTCTCCTGCACGTGGCGCCAAGGGAGCTCCCCGTCAAGAAACTCCACGAGAACATAGAAGAGCGACCACAGGTCGTCCCTCCGCCCCAGGTCCTGCCACCCACCACACACGGCAGGTGCGAGTGCATGGAGGCATACCATGAGCAGGTGCGAGTGCACGGAGGCATACCATGAGCAGGTGCGAGTGCACGGAGGCATACCATGAGCAGGTGCGAGTGCACGGAGGCATACCATGAGCAGGTGCGAGTGCACGGAGGCATACCATGAGCAGGTGCGAGTGCACGGAGGCATACCATGAGCAGGTGCGAGTGCACGGAGGCATACCATGAGCAGGTGCGAGTGCACGGAGGCATACCATGAGCAGGTGCGAGTGCACGGAGGCATACCATGAGCAGGTGCGAGTGCACGGAGGCATACCATGAGCAGGTGCGAGTGCACGGAGGCATACCATGAGCAGGTGCGAGTGCACGGAGGCATACCATGAGCAGGTGCGAGTGCACGGAGGCATACCATGAGCAGGTGCGAGTGCACGGAGGCATACCATGAGCAGGTGCGAGTGCACGGAGGCATACCATGAGCAGGTGCGAGTGCACGGAGGCATACCATGAGCAGGTGCGAGTGCACGGAGGCATACCATGAGCAGGTGCGAGTGCACGGAGGCATACCATGAGCAGGTGCGAGTGCACGGAGGCATACCATGAGCAGGTGCGAGTGCACGGAGGCATACCATGAGCAGGTGCTAGTGCACGGAGGCATACCATGAGCAGGTGCGAGTGCACGGAGGCATACCATGAGCAGGTGCGAGTGCACGGAGGCATACCATGAGCAGGTGCGAGTGCACGGAGGCGTAGGCAGTGGAGCCGCGGAACTCGGCCACCTGGCGTGCGGGGTGCACGCCGTGGGAGGAGCGGAATCGCTTGCTGATGCCAAAGTCAATCACGAAACACTGCTGCTGCCGTGGGCCCACGCCCATCGCGAAGTTGGACTGCTCACACGCGCCATGAGGGGGTTGGTAGGGGGTAGGTGAGCGGGTGTGCATGGAGGGGCGAGCTGAGGACGATGATTGGCGCATGGGGGAGGCTTGGGTGCCGGAATGGTGCAAGGAGCGGGTGATGCAGATGGCGAGGGACATCGGTGATACAGGTAGACATGGCAAGGCAAGGCGATGCAGAGAGGAGGGGGTGGGGAGGGCACTGACGGGTTTGACGTCGCGGTGCAGGAAGCCGTGGTCGTGCATGGTCCTCAGCGCCCTCAGCATCTGCTCGCAGGGGGCGGGTGGGGGAGGGGGGAGGGGGGAGGGGGGAGAGGGGAGGGGGTGGGGTGCGGTGATGGGCAGGGGTGGGGCAGGAGCGGCAGTGGGATGGACATGCAACCTGAGGCCATCAGCAGCTGAATGCACCATGTCATGCAACACCCATTCGGCCCTCAACCCCCCTTGCCACCAGTCCCACGCAAGCCACCCTGCTGCTGCCAAGCAAGCACCCACACGCCCCCCTAGCCCCCCAGCACACTGACCTGCAGGGCGAGGGGTACGAGGGTGGCGACGGGGAAGCGCGCGTGGGGGTGCGTGCGGCGCAGGTCGGAGAGGCTGGGCCCCAGCAGCTCCATCGCCACGTACGCGCGCCCCCCCGCCTGCCCCGCGTGCACATACTCGCACACCGCCCCGCACCCTGGGGGGGACACGCGGGGTGGGGAGGGGGGAGGTCGTATAGTGAGGGGGAGGGACGAGTGCTGGTCATGCGCCAGAAGGTTGACGAGAGGGGGGAGCGATACAAGAAGGGGTGGAGGAGAGAGGTGGGAAGGGGAGTGGGGTTGGGGGATTTGATTGGGAAACAGATGCGAGGAAGGTGTGCAGGCGCAGGTGTATACGGGGGAGGCGGTAGGTACCTTGCAGGCGCTTGAGCACCCAGACCTCCCACTTGAGCACCGACTCCTCCTTCTCCACCTTCAGCGCCACCTGCCGCCCCGTCACCGTGTCGCGCGCCCGGTAGATCTCGCCTGCACACAACAGATTGCGCACAGATGGTTGAGGAAGGTTCAGGGCCGGGGAGCAGCAAGCGAGAAGGAGAGGCTTGGCGGCGAAGGTAGTGGAGGGGGGAGGAAGGGAGCGGCGTGGACGGGTTGATGAATGACGAGGGGTGTTCGGGTAGCGCGGGACACATGATGAGTGGCGAAACAGTGAAGGACCTTAAGTTAGAGGACGCACAAAAGAAGCGATTTGCGAAACCATTCAACGACCAGCTTAGAGGGTGAGGGGAAGAAAAGGGGGTAAGAGTGGAAGATTGGGAAGAGAGAAGCGGAAAGGGAGAGAAAGAGGTTCCAGGGAGTGCGGGAAGTACTGAAGGTGCCTTCGCCGATCTTCTTCTCCACTTCGAACCGCGACTCCAGCAGCGCGCCTCGCGACAACAACGGCGCGTGCGGAGGCAGCCGCGACGACGCCATGACGGCAGTGCAGGCAGCACCGTCACGGGCTGACGGCGGAAACCCCGGACCGTCACGCGTCGATCCTGCTCATCTGGAAGTAGCAGCACCACCCATTGCTGTCCGTTAACGTCCTTCTTAACGTCCACCACGAAGCTCCGGTCCAGCCAGGCCACGAACGCAACGGCGGAAATTCGATGACTAACGCCTCACCTCAAGAGTTCCGTGTACAAGTACGGAGAGGATGGAAAGGGCCTGGGAACCAATGTACAGGAGGGCTAGATTCGAACGACCTAGCCAGTGAATTTAACAATATAGTCGACATAAGAAGGGTTTCACGAGCTGCACACGTGACCAGAAGTGAGCTAGATTCAGAATCTTGGGCGCAAAAGGCTGAGAGACTGGGCCTACTAAAGCATCTAAGATGCAATGGACGGCTTTACTGCTGAAGGGTGGAAGGGATGAGCCTTGGAGTTGTCATGGCAGTCACATGGCTGTCCGTCGCCAGTCTCGGTGATATCATGCCCGCCGTCCAATCACTGACAGCGCACAGGCTCGCACCAAACCCTGCGACTGTTCCCAAATGAACACTGCAGCAGCCCCAACACGCCTTCCCCCTCAAAGGGTCGTTTCAGCTTTGTATTGAAAAACGATGCAATCCAAAGTCAACCACAATTCTACCTTATTGTTACGGGTGCAATGAGTCGAAGTAGCAAGAATTGCACTAAGGTGTCAAACGAGTACAAAATGCGAGCGAAGGCATGAGCGAACATTTATACGCGAAACATGCAAACGGTAACACGGTGCGTGCGAGCTAGCTAATGCTATGCTGGAAGCGAGGCTCGGGCTAGTCCCGAAGCGTAGGCCGACACGGCCAGGCCAGCAGTGCGAGGTTTGGTGAAACAGTGCGCGCGAAGTCAGCGAAGCCCCGTTAGCAGTAACGGGCGAACAACGGCTGCTGCTGTACGCGATGTTGCAGGGTGCGCTAAGGAATATCGAGAAAATTCCTTACACTACCCCCCCCCCCTCAAGAAGCCCCCTCCGCTACGCGAGTGCGTGTATATCGCGGAAGCCCCGGCTCCTCAGGTACACTTGCAGGGCAGGGTGGTTTTCGATGTTGGCCAGGGGCACCCAGCTGTCCTCAGTTGGCGTGCGATCCTTCCAGCGAACGAGGAATTCAATCCTCCTGATTCCCGTGGGGTGTCGAATCCGATGGCTCATGATTTTTTCGGGCGCGATGATCGGCTCCGATGCAGGGCGAGTCATGGATGGCGGGCGGTGGCGAGGCAGTTGGCTTGTGGTTGGGATGTAGGGGCGAAGCAAGCTGACGTGGAACGAAGGGCTGATGTACCAGTCGGTCGGTAACAGTAGGTGCGCGGTTACTGGCGTGATCATGTGGCTGATTTGGAATGGGCCACAGTAGCGCGGTCGAAGTTTTGGTACGTCGGGCAGTCGCAGATTTTGCGTGTCGAGCAGTACGTAATCCCCTGACTGGTATGTGACTAGGCGGCAGTGGCGGTCAGCGTTGCGCTTAGCGATGACGTTTGCTTTCTTAATTGCTTCTGCGGCTCTGGTGCGGGCAGCTTGCAGAATTTCGGCGAATTGCTGTGCACGTGGTGTTGGGTTGTCCGGACTCGGCGTCATGGGCACTGTAGGGTTTTGCCCGTAGTTCAGGTAGAAGGGGGACTGCTGCGTCGTCGCTGACGTGGCATTATTGTACGCGAACTCGATCAGCGGCAGCTGCTGCTCCCAAGTCGTGGGGTCGTCGCACGTGGCACGAATCAACTGCTCCATCGTCTGATTCGTCCGCTCCGTTTGACCTTCGGTCTCGGGGTGGTACGACGAACTGAACTGTAGCCTGGTCCCGAACTGCTCCCAGAGATTTTTCCAGAAGTTGCTGGTAAACTTCGTGTCCCTGTCGCTGATAATCGCTGCTGGTATCCCGTGCAGGCGAACAACGGCTGCGATGAACAGACGAGCGGTCTCCTCGGCTGAGATCGACTTTTTGCACGCAGCGAAGTGTGCCATCTTCGTCAACCTGTCAACGACGACCATCACCGCGTCGTTACCCCCAGGGTTCGAAGGTAACCCTGTGACGAAGTCCATGGTAACCTGCTGCCAAGCGCGCTCAGGCGGTAGTATCGGCTGCAATTGACCCGCCTTCCGCTTCCTCGAGCTTTTCATCACCTGACACGTGGGGCACGAGCCCACGTGCTGCTGTACGTCGGTCAACAGCTCCGGCCAGTAGTAATACCGCTGCAGTTGCTGTCGCGTTTTTTCTACCCCAAAATGTCCCGAGGTAATTCCGTCATGTGCCTCCTGCAGTAGCAGCTCCCTCAGTAGTGAGTACGCGGGTACTCAGATGCGGTTGGTGCCTGTTTTTACGTAATACACTCCTTTAGCTTCTGCCAGTTGCTGTGAGTTTTCAGTCGTGAAAAATGGGTCAGTGCGGTATCCGTGGGTGAATAGGCCTGTTAAAAGCGGGTTGGTCTGGGCGAGTAGGATGGCGTGGAGTTGGGCGGTAGGGCGGGTGAGTGCGTCGGCAATGTTGGATGCGCCTTTCTTGTACGTAACCGTGTAGTGGAAGTTGGACTCGAGGTAGTCCAACCAGCGAATCTGTCGTGGATTGAGATTCGGTTGGGCGCGTAAGTACTGTAGTGATCGGTGGTCTGTCCGTACTGTCACGTCGGCGCCAGTCAGGTAACACCGCCAAACTTTGAACGCGTGCACGATCGCCAACATTTCGCGGTCGTGTATCGGGTAGTTGCGTTCGGGCGGGTGCAGTTTGCGAGACTCGTACGCGATTGGCTGGAGGCCGTTCACGAAATCCTGCAACAGTACTGCTCCCACAGCGATGTCGCTTGCGCCAGTGACAAGCTCGAACGGACGGTGTGGATCTGCGATGTGAAGTACGGGCGGTGAGCACAAAATGTTTTTGAGGGCCGAGAAGGCAGCCTGCTCTTTCTCCCCCCACGTGTACTCAACCCCCTTCCTCAGCAGGTCGGTCAACGGGGCAGTCAGCTTCGCCATGTTGGGGACGAACAGGCGCACGTAGTTGACGAACCCCAGAAAACTCTGCAACTCGGTCAAGTTGGTCGGCGCGTGCCATGCTTGAATCGTCGCAATTTTCTTCGGGTCTATTTCCACTCGTGCAGCTGAAATAACGTGTCCCAAAAACTCCAGGCGGTCATGTAAAAACTCACACTTAGACGCTTTTGTCAGTAGGCGGTTCTCACTCAGTATTTTAAAAACTGCTTCGATGTCCTGTAAGTGCTGTGCTCTGTCAGGGGCTGTAAATCAATATGTCGTCCAGGTATACTATGACGCACTTATCTAAGAGCGGGCGGAAAGCTTCGTTCATGGTCATTTGAAAAGTGGCGGGGGCGTTGGTCAGTCCGAAGGGCATGACGGTGTATTCGAAGGATCCGTAGCGTGTTCGGAAGGCTGTCTTTGGGCAGTCGGGTAGGTTGACGCGAATCTGGTGGTTACCTCTCCGAAGGTCGAATTTCGAGAAAACCCGGGCTGTGCGTAGTTGGTCGATCAGTTCGTCGGCTCGCGGGATGGGGTAACGGGATTTTATGGTAACCCTATTCAGTGCTCTGTAGTCTATGCACATGCGAAAACCCCCGTCCTTCTTCGGCGTAAACAGTATTGGTGCTGCGAAGGGCGACGAACTAGGGCGAATGAACTCCTTCTCGAGCAGGTAATCCAGCTGCTTCCTCAGTTCGTCCAGTTCGGGTTGGGTCAGTCAGAACTGTCGCTGTACTGTTGGCTGTGCCCCCGGCTCTAGTTCTATCCTGTGGTTGTGCGGTCGCTGAGGTGGCAGTCCCGTCGGTAGGTCGTCCGGGAAGATGTCACTGTATCGCTTCAACAGTGCTGCTAGATCACCCGGTACGTCGGCTAGCAGTTTCTGTAAATCCCCCCCTTTGTTTGCTGCCTCAGCTTCCCGAATGTCACCCGCGTACACGTCAGCTCCTGCCGCTACGGCACGTTTCATCGTGATCGCGTTGACACGCACCGACGAAGACTCAGGCAAGCCCCAGCGAGGTAAGGCGATGTTGTTACTGTTCACTCGCACAGTGCAGTCACCCGTCGTCGAGTCGATTCGCGGATTGTGTCGTCGCAGCCAATCACGGCCGAGTAAAATGTCGGTTCCGTCGAGGGTCGTTGCGAGCATTTCCTGGCTAAACGTGAAGTTACCCCCGCATCGAATCCGAACTTGGTCTACACGTTCCCGTATCGCCAGTGGCGTGCCGTCTACCAGTCTTGCGTTGATCTCAGGTAAACATCTGTCCAGTGGCAGTCGCAGTTTTCATGATGTGGCAGTGTTGATAAGGCTGTGGCTGGCCCCTCCGTCTACAAAGATTTTTACTATGTCTGTCCCGATTTTCCCACTAAGCAGTATGGGGCTGTCGACCGTAGTACTCTCCTTATTCGGCCGGGTGTGGTCGATTGCGTGAACCGGCACAATCACTCGGTGAGGGTCGGTTGGGTCGGGCGAGCGGCGTGACCTGTCAGTAGAGGGCCCGTCTGCTACTGACTCCCAGCGTTTCCCTGCTGCTTGGTCTGTTTCTGCTGCTCAGCTTCCCCCTTTCCCTTAGCGTTTTCCGGGCATTCGCTCTTACAGTGTCCCGACCGATTGCACGCAAAGCAGAGCCCTTTGAATGGTGCGGCAGCGGCATTTGCGGCGACGGCACGTATCGTAGCGCCCTCGTTCGTCCCACGAGGCCGATGTCCCCAATTGCTGCTTCCGTAGGACCCCGGTCTCGGTCGGCGGAAGAAGTCGAGTTTCTCCGCCATAGCGAGAATTTCTTGAAAGTCGGTGACGCCGCGAAGCTGGATTTCCTGAGCGATGTCCTGCTTCAGGCCGCCGATGTAGCGGTTGATGCGCTCGCTCTTATGCATGTATCCCACCTGCTCGCATAGCGCCAGAAACCCGCTGGTGTAGTCTTGGACGGAACCGAGTTGGCGCCAAGTGCGGAGCTTCTGTCGCGCCGCGATCGAAGCCGCAATTGGCTCGAAACGAGCGCGCAGACCTGCTCACCACGCGTCCCACGTGCGATACTGGGGCACCTCCACGAAATACGACGGCGCCCAGGGTCCGGTTTGTCCTTCCCGTGTCGGTAGAGTCGCGTAGTCCACCGGCTTCGTGACGATGACACGCCACCAGTCCATGGCGGGTCCTCGCAGCAACGACACGGCGTAGCGAATCTTCGCCGTATCCTCTGAGACGTAGTTCGCGTCGAAGAAGACATTCAACGTGAAGAGCCACGCCTGAACGGTAGGACCACCCCGCTGACTTGGGTCAAAGCATGGCGGACGCTGCGGCTTCAGCAGCATCGGCGACGGTAGAGCTGATTCGCCGGCCGGCACCGAAATTGTGACTCGAGGTTGGTTCCTGGCCGCATTCGTCACGTCGGGGTGTGACGTGCCGTGGTCGTCGTCTCCGTCATGGCGGACGACGCCATCACTGGCCGCGCTCGCGGGTTGCCCCACACTTCCGTGTTGCGATGTCTGTGGTGCGGGCTGTATCGGAGTGCCAGGTGCTTGGGATTGCGCTTGCTGTGCTCTTGCGATGTCGTTTTGCAGGGACGAGCGTTCTGCCGCCAGCGCCGCGATTTCTTCAGAGCTTTCGCGGATTTGCCGCAGCAGTTCGTCCAAGTGCTCATGCGTGAGAGTTGCGACATCGATATGCTCAGCCATTACGAAGGGCGTCGGCTCGTCTTAGTCTAGGCGCAGTCGTGGCTGCACGCGTTTACGAGAGAACGCGAGGACAACGGCTCCTAGCGGCTAAGGTGCGTGAGTCCCTTCGAGTGAAAAATCAAAAGTTGATTTCCTGGGGTGCGGAGATGCGCGGTCCGAAAAGAAAGAGGCTCTGAATACCAAGTGTTACGGGTGCAATGGATCGAAGTAGCGAGAATTGCACCAAGGTGTCAAACGAGTACAAAATGTGAGCGAAGGTATGAGCGAACATTTATACGCGAAACATGCAAACGGTAACGCGGTGCGTGCGAGCTAGCTAGTGCTACGCTGGCAGCGAGGCTCGGGCTAGTCCCGAAGTGTAGGCCGACACGGCCGGGCCAGCAGTGCGAGGTTTGGCGAAACAGTGCGCGCGAAGTCGGCGAAGCCCCGTTAGCAGTAACGGGCGAACAACGGCTGCTGCTGTACGCGATGTTGCAGGGCGCGCTAAGGAATATCGAGAAAAATTCTTACAACCTTATATTAAAGAGTCCTGTTCTGTACTACTTGATGAATTATGGTTGAGTGAAAAACTATTTCCACATAATGGGCTGGACTGCTGCTGACCTTGAGAGCTGCTAGAGTGTGTGATTGGAGATAGAATTGCTCCAGACCCGTGTTTGGTGATTCGTCGTTGCCCACGTGGCTACGAATTGCTCGCGTGGTCATTCAATTCAATGATAATTGCTCGAGTGGTCTTGCCAGAGGTTTCCTGCGGCATTTCTTTTACTCGGCACATTACCCCGGAAGGGTTTTTAGCCTCGAAATTCTTACATCGATCGTGTCTCTTCCCGCTGGATTCTGAACACGGGCAAAACAAAACTAAAACCCGCTCGGAAGGCATGCCATTCGGGAAGCATCAACCCTAAAATTTTAGGGTTGATGCCTCCCGAATGGCATGCCGTTCGCGACGGGTTTTAGTTTGTTTTCAGGGCTAAAAACCCTTCTCGGGTAATGTGTACGGTAAAAAAAAGGCTGCGGGAATCCTCTGGCAAGGCCACTCGAGCAATTATCGTGCAATTGTAGGACCACGCGAGCGAATTGAGGCCACGTGTGCAACGCCGAATCTCCAAACATGGGTTTGGAGCAATTCTCTCGTGATTGGAGCAGCACCGCCCCACTCCAGCATTCGTGGCACAGCTGCCCCGTCAGCGATCGCCTCTTGACGGTCATTTGCCACAGCGTACCACCTGCTCTACCTCGTAGTGTCGTTGCCCGCATCCCCTTCGCCTCCCCTCGCCGCCGTCCCTTCCAAGCAGCAATCACACCACCACACCCATGCTCCCCGCCCCGCACAACCCGCTTGTGCGCACCAGAATTGACTTGAAAGCATAAATCTTGTCCCCCGCCCATACCTAACAGACCTCGCCAACTAAGACCATTACCCCTTCCCCTCCGTCCCGTTGTCCGCGTCAACTATGGCTGCCGCGGTATCTGTCCCTTCCCCCGCATTGCGCGGCACCGTCACTTCTGCGCGCCATGCCGCCTTGCCAAAAGCCAGCGGCTCCGCGTCGCCAGCGGGGCCTGCACCACAAGTAACTCTCAGATCGTCCTTCACGCAATCGCGCGCCGCCGTCACCGGCAGAAGCCGGTCGAGTAGCTGCCGTCAAATTGCTGCTTCCAGGCGGCGATCGGCTGTCAGAGCGTCTGTGGCAGCGTCGGCGCCGAATGCGCAGGCGGCGGCGGCGGAGGCGGAGTGGGCGAAGCTGTCGAAGGTGTGCGCGGTGCTGGGCACGCAGTGGGGCGACGAGGGCAAGGGCAAGCTCGTCGACATCCTCGCGCAGCGATACGACGTCGTCGCGCGCTGCCAGGTGAGACGCCGTGAGGCGGCACGGAGAGGCGAGAGCGAGAGCGAGAGATGCGGGGAGGCGATCGCAGGGATTGGCGCAGGAGGGAGACACACTTGGGGCTAAACGGACGAGGGCCCCGCACCTTGCTGGATCGCGTTAGGCGCACAATGAGGCGGTTAGTGCGAGGCCAGCTGGCCGAGACCGAGCATGGGACGCTTGTTGTGAGACTTACCAAAAGCTAATTCAACTTCCACATGGCAATTGGACCCTCAATTTGAATCCCGTGGTTAAAAAATTGTCACTTTGACGAGCGAAATCATGATCAGCCCGTGTTCGAAGCACCTTTGTATGTCTCCACCGCCGATGCCCTCGCGAGTAATTTGGTTAATTATCAGCCCAGCCGCTGCATGAATGGCAGAACAAACAAGGAATTCACGTCGCTCTCATTCTCGCGGAAATAAGACGAAATTGTCGACGTCAAGGCACCATTCCGCTCCCCACCCCCCGCGCGCCGTGGTGCAGGGCGGCGCCAACGCGGGGCACACGATATACGACAGCACGGGGCGGCGGTTCGCGCTGCACCTGGTGCCGTCGGGCATCCTGCACCCGAACGCGACGTGCGTGGTGGGCAACGGGCCCGTGATCCACCTGCCGGGCTTCTTCAAGGAGCTCGACGGGCTCGAGGCCAGCGGCGTGACCGTGGACGGGCGCATCCTCGTCAGCGACCGCGCGCACCTGCTCTTCGACCTCCACCAGACCGTCGACGCGCTCCGCGAGGCGGAACTGGCGGGCGACAAGATCGGCACCACGAAGCGCGGCATCGGGCCGTGCTACGCCAGTAAGGTGCGCGCACCGTGGGTGTGACGGGGACGGGAGGTGTGGGATTTTTGCCCGGGGCTTGTGGTTGAAGGATGTGTGAGAGGGGAGGGTGTGTGTGAGAGAGGAGGTGGTATGTGATGGGCAGGCGAGCGTGTCTGAGGAGGAGCGGAGTGTGTGTGAAAGGGTGTGTGGGGGAGACGGGAGGGTGAGTATGAGAGAATGGGGAAGCGGAGCTGAAGAGGGTGCCCGGACGAGTTAGGGCAAGGTGGGAGAGAGCACAAGGGGCTGTTGCTGCTGCTGGCCATGCTGACTGGCATGGGAGCGATTGATAGTGGCTGGGTGGTTGGGCTGGGATCCCATGTGCCATGCTGCTCTCATCTTTGGCACATCACTTCACCAACGCAACTGTTCCCCGTGCTCGCCCCCCTGCATTCCCCCTCTCCCTCCACCGCTTCCCCCCCGGTCAGGCGATCCGCAACGGGGTGAGGGTGTGCGACCTGCGCCGCATGGACACGTTCCGCGCCAAGCTGGAGACGCTGTACCGCGACGCCAGCCAGCGCTTCCCGGCCTTCCAGTACACCGAAGCCGACCTCGACGCTGAGGTGGCGCGTTACAGGGAGTTTGCCGCCCGGCTGGAGCCGTTCATCACGGACACTGTTCACTTCGTGGGCGAGGCGGTGCGCGGCGGGCGGCGAGTGCTGGTGGAGGGCGGGCAGGCGACGATGCTGGACGTGGACTTCGGCACCTACCCCTTCGTCACCTCCTCCAATCCCTCTGTTGGCGGCATCTGCACCGGCCTTGGCATCCCCCCCCGCGCCCTCGGCGACATCATTGGCGTCGTGCGTCCCTCCTGCCCGCCTGCCCTCATGCCCGCATTTCCACTCTCAAGCCACTTGACATATCACTGCTGCTGCTGCGTTCCTCCTCTTGAATTATTCGAGCACCACATTGCCTCACCCATCTCACCCCTCCCACGCCCCCGCCTCCCAACCCCCTCACCTCCGTCTCACCCCGCCCCCTTCATCTCAATCCCCACTTTTTCATCTCACCTCCGTCTCAAACCCTCCCAATCTCATCCCTGCTCCATCTCATCCCTGCTCCATCTCATCCCTGCTCCATCTCATCTCTGCTCCATCTCATCCCTGCTCCATCTCATCTCTGCTCCATCTCATCCCTGCTCCATCTCATCCCTGCTCCATCTCATCTCTGCTCCATCTCATCCCTGCTCCATCTCATCCCTGCTCCATCTCATCTCTGCTCCATCTCATCCCTGCTCCATCTCATCTCTGCTCCATCTCATCCCTGCTCCATCTCATCCCTGCTCCATCTCATCTCTGCTCCATCTCACCCTACCACCATACCCCCCTCCCATCGCCCCTCTGCCACGCATGGTGGAGCAGGCGAAGGCGTACACAACGAGGGTGGGCGAGGGGCCGTACCCGACGGAGCTGTTTGGGGAGCTGGGAGAGCAGCTGCGCAAGGCGGGCCACGAGTTTGGCACCACCACGGGGCGCCCACGGCGCTGCGGGTGGCTGGACATAGTGGCGCTGCGGTACGCGTGCCAGGTGAACGGCTTCACCGCTCTCAACCTCACCAAGCTGGACGTGCTGTCGGGCCTGCCAGAGCTGCAGCTGGGTGTGGGGTACCGTGCCCCTGACAGCTCGCTGCTGCCCGCCTTCCCTGCCGACCTGGAGCTGCTGGGTCAAGTAGAGGTGCGTGCCCTGTAGCCTGCGCTGCAATCACCATGCACATTCAATTCTCGTGTGGTTTGATTGTTTCTGTCGCATTACTGCTCGGGTGGCCTCAATGCCGGGCTGGTTGATGACATTGCTGTGTGCATGCGTGCAGGTGGAGTATGAGACGGTGGCGGGGTGGCAAGAGGACATCACAGGCGTGCGCACATTCGAGGAGCTGCCAGCCAACGCACAGGCGTATGTGCGGCGCATAGAGCAGCTGCTGGACGTGCCCGTGCGCTTCATTGGTGTGGGGCCCGGCCGAGATGCCATGATCGCGCGCACGTCAGAGTGACGCCCATTCTAGCGAATAAGATGGCATTCTTAGCTACCGTTGTCATTATTGTCTGAAAAAAGAAAATTAGTCCAGGAGCCCCCTTGCAACAGCATAACAAATCTAGTATGCTATCTACAGTAGCTAGCACCACATGGTACTAAATTAGAAGTGCCAAGAAAGAGTTTGCAAACCAGTTTGGCTCACTTTATAGAGACCAAAATTTCCTTTTACAGAGACACCCCATCCACCTTCGCGGATATTAGTAATCGCGTACCGTATTTGGAGTTCGCATCCTAGTTTCTTTCTGAAAGCTCCGTCCTGCCGTCGCCTCGTCTTACGGAACATCCTTGTCGCTCTCATTTCGTCAGTCTCGTGAATCGGCGCGCAGCGGGGCGAGGGCGGGCAGGATGCAGATCTTCGTGAAGACGCTGACGGGGAAGACGATCACGCTCGAGGTGGAGAGCAGCGACACCATCGACAATGTCAAGGCCAAGATCCAGGTACGCTCCCCCGCTCCCACGCGCCCCCGCGCCCTTGCGCCCGCCCTCGCGCCCGCGCTCGCTCGCTCGCTCGCTCCCTCCCTCCCTCGCGCCCCCGCGCCCTTGGTTCCCCGCCCTCCTTCCCCCGCGCCCTCGCTCCCCTGCGTCATCGCTTCCTCGCGCTCTTGCCCCCTCGCCACTGCACCGGGCAAGGACTCGCGCTGCCGCCGCCGTGCTAGTAGCTGGAGTGCTATCCTGGTTGCGACGCGTGTTCTGAGGCGGTGCGTACTGTGTGCGGCGCGCAGGACAAGGAGGGCATTCCGCCGGACCAGCAGCGGCTGATCTTCGCGGGGAAGCAGCTGGAGGACGGGCGCACGCTGGCGGACTACAACATCCAGAAGGAGAGCACGCTGCACCTGGTGCTGCGGCTGCGCGGCGGCATGATGATCAAGGTGAAGACGCTGACGGGCAAGGAGATCGAGATCGACATCGAGCCCACCGACACCATCGAGCGCATCAAGGAGCGCGTCGAGGAGAAGGAGGGCATCCCGCCCGTGCAGCAGCGGTGAGCACGGAGGGCAGGCGGGTTTGCTCGTGGGTGCATGTGTGGTGCTCATGGGTGTGTTGGTGTTGTTGCGTTGCACCAACTCACCACTCAGTGGGTTCTTGTTCATAAGCGTCCCATGCCACCCCATTCCATCCCACCCAATGCCATCCCATGGCGTGGCATGGCAGGTTGATCTTTGCGGGGAAGCAGATGAACGATGAGAAGACGGCCAAGGACTACAACATAGAGGGCGGCTCCGTGCTGCATCTCGTGCTCGCCTTGAGAGGCGGCTCCGCCCCCTGCTAGATGCGCCATGCTCCACACCCCACACCACACTCCTTTTCTAGTCGCTATAGTTACCATAGTGATGCAGGCCCTAGGGTAGTGGACGTGGCAAGGCGATTGCCTCGTTGGCTTTCTCTTATCATTGTGTTGTGTTGTGAAGGCTCTGAAGTGCATGCATTATTAACCCATAAGACAACAGCCAGAGCAAGGAACCTAGACAGGGTCAATGAGGGTGACGGGCAGGCCGAGGGAGGAGAGCTGCGGCATGACGGCAGCAGCGTCCGCCACCACCACGATGGGCTGCTCCACCGGGTGCAGGCGGCGCTGTGCTGCTGCCAGCACGGCCTCGGGGGAGAGCGCCTCGACGCGGCGTTTGAACTCAAAGATGAAGTCCTGGTCGATGCCAAACAGGTCGTACGTCATTATGCGACTCAGCTGCGCTCCACTGCCAGTGCACACAGGCATAGGGAGGAGAGGCTTGCGGGAATGAGGTTGCAGAGCACATAAGCAGTGGAATAGCTTGGAGTGACGAGACATATGGGAGAGGTGGGTGTGCATGGAGAGGAGAGGCACCTGTCAGCGAAGTTGAAGACGAAGGAGTTGAGCACCCGGTCCTTGGCCTCCTGTAGCTCGCCTGCACTCCACTCCACAGCAGCACCGCCACAAACACATGAGGTGACAGTGGATGAGTGCCTTTGCCGCACGCAACAGGTGCTGAGGCATGAGGTGCCAGGCAGGCAGTGGCAGGGGGGGGGCTCACCCGGTGAAGGTGGTAACAGCGTGGCCTCCCCCAGCACGCGCTGCACTGCTGTGATGAACTGCCCCACTGCCTCCGCCCTCGTCTCCCCACCCCCCACAAACGCCCCCTGCACGCATGGGACACACACCGGCACAACTGCTGGTGAGAGAGAGCAGGTCTTGCACTCATGGGCAACGGGAGCTGAGAGAGCAGCGCAGAGCAGGCAAGATAGTTAAGGGCGAGCAGGCGTGAGGTAGGGCAGAGAGAGCAGGCAAGCACAGGCGGGCAGTGGCAGCAGCAGCGGCACGCACCCGGTGGTCAACGCCTGGCGACCATGAACCCGACACCGAGTATGCCAGACCCTCCCTCGAGCGCACCTGCGAGGGGAGGGGAGGGGAGCATGGGGAGACGAGAAGGGTTAACAAAAGGGAAACGAGGAAAAGGGAGTGACGGGAGAGGGTGCAAGGGATAGGGGAGAGGGAGTGAAGGGAGAGGCAGCGTGGGATAGGGAGGGAGGGAGGGGGAGCAAGGGGAGAGGCAGGGAGAAGGAAGTGGGGTGTGGGACCTGGTCGAAGAGGCGGCCCCCGAAGCCATTGAGGATGGCGTTGAGCACATCGAGTGCAAACACGTCCGGGTCACTGATGGTGATGCCCAGCTCTCCCACTCGCACTATGCTGCCAGCGGGGCGCAGGGAAGACGAGAGGCAGGGGAGAGGAGAGGCAGGGGAAAGGCATGAGAGAGGCATGAGAAAAAAGTGCAAGCAAGGTATGAGCATGGTGGCTAGCGCTTGCCATGGGGTGTGGTGCAGTTGCCATACACCGTGCACACCCCTGGTGCACACGCACCTCTGGGTGAGCCCCGGTCGGTCCACCACGTACACGCCCGCAGCACTGACCGCCACGCCCTCCTCCGGCCCCCAGTACGGCACCGCCCGCCCCTTGGCAGCGCGGCGTGCAGGGGTGGTGGGGGCAGCGGGCCAGGCGAGGAAGGTGTCCTCCAGCAGCGCGCGCATGCTCCGCGCGTCAAAGTCGCCCCACACTCCCAGCACCGCCTGCGATGGGTCGCTGTAGGAAGCTGCGTGGAAGGCGCGCAGGTCGGCGAGGGAGATGCGGGCGACGTCAGCAGCGAGGGGGTAGCGGCCGCGCGGGGAGGCGGGGCTGTAGAGCAGGCGCTGCAGCTCCCTTGATGCCACCCGCCCTGGCTGGCGTGGGGGAGGAGGGCAGGAGGGTAGGTGGGAGGGGTTGGAGAAATGGATGGAATGTTTGGGAAGGAGGTACGGCGTGCTGCAAATTCTTTGGCTGGTGGAAGGCTAATCTCTACACATCCATGGATGAACGAGCGTGGCTTGGACATGGACACGGGCATAGGAGTGGCTTGCAATGAGCAGGTGGGAACAGGGGGGTTGGGTAGGAGTGGGTGGGCATGCAAGGACGGACATCGTCGTTGCGGCGGGCGATGGAGCCGAGCAGCTGCGTGCGCGAGAAGGCCAGCTTGGACGCTGGTAGCAGCGGTGCCAGCACCACTGGTGGGAAGAGGGAGAGGCGCGGGGTGGGGGAGATAGTAGGGAATTGGAGGGCATGAGTGGGGAGGAATCCGAGGGAGGTGAGATAGAGAGCAGGGAGAAACTGCCTATAGGCCTGGGCTGTATGCAATCCCATGGAGCAGAGGCAGGCAGGGGCGGCAGGGGCAGGGGCGAACCATCGCGAAGCAGGGGGAGGAGGGTGGGCGCGTCCTCTTGCAGGCAGCGGAAGGACGCTGAGAGCGATGAGGTGCCCGCTGATGTCTCTATGGACGCCGCCATTGCCTGCATGGGGGGGCATGCAGAACGCAGGAGCGATGAGGAATGGCGGATGCCGGGATAGGGGATGTAACGGGACCGGCTCAGTGAAGGTGCGAAAGAAAGAGAGAAGAGCGCATGGCATGGTGGGCCCAAAGGGCTGGACAGTGCATGCAGGGCGGACCTCAAGCGTGTCATCAAGTTGCTCCTCGGGGTACTGCTGCGTGCCTCCACTGCGCTGCACCGCTGCCATCATGCCCGCCACTCCCACCTGCACACAAGGGGGGGAGAGCACGCATTCATGCATGGGTGCCTGCTGCTTGCATGCATGGCCATGGACTCATGAGCCATGCACACATTGCACGGATACACACGAGCCTTAGGAACTGATGACCGGCCAGGCACATGCATGGTGGGAGGCGCAGTCATGGGGAGCGGCGCACTTGTGCATGGGTGGTGAGACATGGGCCCACCTTGTCGGGCGCTTCATACTGGGCCCCGCCCTTCACTAGCAGCTGCCCTCCCACCTGCCACATGCACACACACGGGTGGACAGACAGGCAGTAGAGGGGCGAGAGAGAGAGAGAGAGAGAGAGAGAGAGAGAGAGAGAGAGAGAGAGAGGGTAATGTGCGAGTGAGTGGTGTTACAACGAGGCACGGGCGGATTTATGGACATGGGTGCATCAATCTGGCCGCTCTGAACCTCCTGCCCACACCTCACCAGCCCCATGCAGCACTCACCAGCCCCATGCAGCACTCACCAGCCCCATGCAGCACTCACCAGCCCCAGCTCGTGGTCTTCGAGGAGAAAGACGCGCAGACCGTTGGGCAGCACAAACTGACATGCACGCATGGGCAAGGGAGGGCCGAGGCACCGCGGTGAAGCGGAGTGAGAAGAATGGGGGTGACGTGGTGGTGAGCGGTGCAGCGGCGTGCACAACATGAGCGGTGGCGGGCAGGGGGCAGACGGGCGATGGGGAGAGCAGTGGGGCAGCCAGCATGGGGCGAGGAGGCAGCAGCGTGCACCTGTTCGTAGGGCGGCAAGGCGGGGTCAGGCAGCGGCGGGAAGGTCGTGGGGATGGGCGGCAGGTGGCGGGTGGACGCGCGCGCGCTCACACGGGCTGAGGGAGGGAGGAGGGGGGCGGGGAAGGGAATGGGGGGAGCACGCGCAGAAATGGCAGGGCAGCAAAGGGCATGCGGAAGGGCGTGGAGAGAGGGTGGCTGGCAGGCGGGCTAGTGTGCAGCGAAGGAATGGTCGGAGAGCGCACGCGGAGGGCGGGCAGTTGCGGCGGCTCCTAGCGAGGCCTTGTGCACGCACCCTTGCTGCCTCTGCGCCACATACAAGGCACCTCCGGCCTCCTCGTGGCGAGACGGCCGCTTCCATTCCGCCATGTCGCACCGCCGCTGAGCGGGCCGAGTGCCGACGGCGTTGAATGAGCAGCGCGACGGCCGGTCAGCGAAGGCGCCGAGGCGGGCACTGCCGCCATCCCTGCAGCCGCCCTACGCTTCCTGGGGTGAGCGCACCGATCGCTGCGCGCGGTCGCAGAGCGTCGGCACAAAGAGGGATCACCGAGCTCGCGTCAAGTAACTAGTTGCCACGTAATATATGTCGGAGGCGGGGTGAAGTAGGCTGCGCAATTGGCGTCGGGCTGGTGTTGCTGCTCTGATTCCGCCATCCTCCCAAATAAAGGTTGATGCGGTTTGGTTATTGGATTTCTACACTGTTCAGCTGCACCAGATTATCAGATACAGAACGTGGCTGAATCAGAAAGGATGAGAAGAGCACAGCAGAATACCTGACTAAAAGGGCCTGAAGCAACAGATACATTTATTAGTGATCGCTGAATGCTACGCCATGAGTTTCCCAAAGATGGAAAGTGTGCCAGAGAGCAAAGGTGCGTCATTGCACGGCGGAGCTGTGGGGCGAGCGGGTGAGGGAGGCCCAGGAGGTGTCGTGCACGACCTGGCGCATGTCCTCCCAGTCCGTGTTGGCCAACGCATAGTACCGGTTGTCCCTCACTCCTATGCAGTTGAAATGCGCCATTCGCCAACACGTCCCGTTCTGCCTCACCACCCATGCACACCACACACCACACAGGGGGGGAGAGAGACACATGAGACATGTGGCATGCGGGCTGGCATGGGGTCAGAGACCCAGAAGAACACGTATGCCCAAAGTACACCATTATCCCAATGAGCAGCCCAGCAGCCCAGCAGCCCAACAGCCCAGCAGTCTAGCAGCTGAGCAGCACCTGGTCCTTGTCGCGGGCGTTGAGGCCGAGGAAGCGGGGCTTGGAGCAGCCGGAGACGTTCCAGATCTTGGGCAGGGTGCGGCACTTGTCGGGGTTGTTCATGCACATCATCGTGAACACCCACTGGTCGCCCGGCCTGAACCCCCACACCTCCATCGCCTTCTGCTCGCCAAACGCCTCCATCACCAGCTGCCATGCACATGCATACATACACATGCACACGTGCACGCACACATGCATGGGGGAGTGCACAGGCGGGAACCACGGCTTGCACCCACGCATCAACGCCAACAGCATAGAGCCTAGAGGCTGCAAGAATAGCCATTGTAGGTGGAGGTGTGCAGGGGCGGAGGGGTGCAGGGGTGGGCAGAGGAGTGAAGGGGTATGCAGAGGAGTGCAGGGGTGAGCAGAGGAGTGCAGGGGTGGGCAGGGGAGTGCAGGGGCGGGAAGAGGAGTGCAGGGGCGGGCAGAGGAGTGCAGGGGCGGGTGGGGAGTGCAGGGGCGGGTGGGGAGTGCAGGGGGCGGGTGGGGAGTGCAGGGGCGGGTGGGGAGTGCAGGGGGCGGGCAGAGGAGTGCAGGGGCGGACGGGGAGTGCAGGGGCGGGCGGGCGTACGCGGGTGAGGTTGTGGCGGCGGAGGCGGTCGAGGTCCATGATGAGCTGGCAGGAGCAGAAGGGGTAGCGCGAGCGCGGGCCGTAGGCGGTGGGGTGGTTGTCGCCCATGAAGAGCAGCAGGTCGGGGTCGGCGTCCATCTCGCGGAAGTACCCCCACAGCGCGCCCAGGTCCTCTGCCGCCACCATGTCCACGTCCAGGTAGATGGCGCGCCGCACGTTCCACAGGATCTCCGGCAGAAACAGCTTCGCAAACCCCGCCTCGCCCGAATGGTGCGTTATGTTTATCCCCAGCAGCTCCGCCTGCCAACCCGCCGCGCGGAAGGAAGAAGGGGAGGGGAGGGGGAGGATGGATGCGCGCATGCATGTGTCAGCTGGGTTGGTGGTGGTGCAAGGTACGGTGCGCGCATGGAACGCAACATGAGGGGTAGCAGTGACGTGTGGTTGAAGGCGGCGCACTTGCCTTATGGCGAACCCAGCAGACGGGGATGGGGTGGATGGTGTAGCCCACTGGAGGATCGTCCGCCACCTGCACGCACGCACGCAACCACACAGCGCACAGAGCACGCACTTTCACGTCAGTACAAAACCTCCAACTTCCTGGACGCCTTGCACTGAATGCGTGGCTCACGGCCCGCCAGGCACGGCGCCAGAGTGACGCAGGGCGGGACGGGCGCGCGGACCTTGTCGTCGTGGTTGGGGTCGTAGCTGATCTGGTCGACGAGCGCGTCGATGTCGTGGCGCACGAGGTTCGGCGACACGGGCCCCACGGCGTCGAAGGGCACGGCGCCGAGCTGCTCCATCATGTCGGAGATGCCCCACTCCTCCGCCTCGCCCGACACCATGAAGTGGAAGAACAGCCGGCACTGCGTCGACATCAGGATCGACTTGAGAATCACCTCCGTCTCGTCGCGCGTGAACGGCTCGCGGTCCCATTGCGCGCTCACCAGCACGATGTGGATGCGCTCGTTCACCGTGCAGTTGCTCACCGGCCGCGGGAGGGAGCACGGGCCCGACGGCCGAAACCCGATGATACGGACTACGCGCTCGGTGTCTGCGAATTCCTCACTGCCGATTAGCCACGCGACGGTGGGAATTAGAAATATTCGGACGAAATGGACGATCGCAAAGGTGACGAGGAGGACTCGAAACGCGCCCCCTGGCTGATTGAATGCTTGGTTGAAGGCCTTCATGACTAGAGATTGGTGCGAGCGAAGTGAAGTAGGTGATTCGCTCTCTAATTTTTATTTGATCTATAATTTTAGTTTAGACATATTTACATCCGTTGTCGTCCAGCCTGGTTAGGATACCTGGCTTTCACCCAGGCGACCCGGGTTCAAATCCCGGCAACGGAGCTTTTTGGCTTTCTTGGATTTGTCATTTTGGAAAGGATGATGGGAACAGTGTAGACGTGCTTGCAACGACAACGCTTCATCGAAAGCGGAATTCTTACAAAGGGAGTTCCCAGAGTGTTGTCAGCTGACCTCGGTATTGTCTAGGCGGGAACACCGATGCGTCCCTGTGCTCGACCCTTCGTCGGGGAGGCGGCCTGTCAGTGCGGAATGGAAGCGAAACAGATGGATGGGATGGGAAAGGCGAAGCAAGTCAAACACAGAAAAATCAAGGTTACTCAGATTCTAACGTCTCCCCTCAACTTCCACAGCATCCATTGTTTTCCTTAGCTATGTTGCGACCCTGGAACAAGCTTACTAGCGTCAAGATTCGCTAAGCCATATTTGGCCATGGTGTCGTCAGGCGGAAAGCACCTGGCCCAGGCCAGGCGGACCTCCTTGATGAGGTTACGAACAGGGGGACTGTCCTTATGCAGGAACGCAGTTGTAATATCCGTAGTCGCTCTCGCTAGTGCGTTCGTATTCTTCGGTTATCGCCTGTCTAGCCCGTTGACATCACCCGCTTCTTCCACGACGCGTAAGGATCGCTTCTTCACAGTTTTGCACTTGATGACGAACGCATTCCTCACCCAAACGACTCTACACCTGTGCAGGTCGTGACAACTCAGTAGCAACCACAGTAGACCAGGTATGCACGTATACCTCCCTCAATTATCCATCAGTTATATATAATCAGGACTTACATTTAAGTTTCAAAATATCCAGGTTTTATCGTCCGAGACAAAGAGTCTGGCAGCTTTGGAGCAGATAGAGTCGCTTTTCCCGAAGGAGGTATGCCTGCTAGTGGAGAAGTAAGCATCAACTTTCTCCGCGATCTTTTTGCTAACTATATATTCTCGGTTATCCCCTAGGTACTGGACGTCGTTAATACTAATGCGGCTGATTCGTCCCTCCCGGACTTGCGTTCGCTGTCGGTGGAAGAACCGACATCGATTGCTCTGGAGCGAATTCAGGAGAGGCGACGGAAAGCGCAGTCTGTGAGTATACTGCTCGCTCCGGTGTCAGGAATTTGCTGCATAACAGCACAGAGTCACTGACTCATCGCTCTTCAGGTTCCCTCGGAAGACCCGCTCGCCACGTTGGGAGCTTCCACTGCTGATCACGCCAGCCTGCTGGCCAAAGCTGCTGCAGAAGGTAAGTCGCACCGTCAGTTACCTACGCATTGTGTTGGGTTTTCTTGTCGCGTCCCGCTGATGGTCCGCGCGTGGATGCAGGGGAGGACCCAGAGTCGTTGAGGGCGATGGAAGCCCTTCTGAAGCCGGATCCCAATGATCCTGCTCGACGGATAAGACGAGTACGTCGCCGCTCCTCAAATTTGTGTTGTTACTGTACAGCGACGTCGTGCTTACATGTGAAAATCTATTTCAGGAAAATCGAATTCGTCGGCGAGACAAACGGCTTCACGAGTTGGTCGCGCAGGAGTCCATAGAAGACGACGCTGCTGAGGCGGAAGAGAAGAAGAAGAAGGGGTCTGGCACGGAGCCCGCCATCGCTCTGAACAAATACAGCATCTGGCGTAGGGAGGATGAGAAGATAGGCGGGGACCAGATGATTAGACTTATTCAGGATCAGCTGATTATGGCTCGAGCGTATATGGCCATCGCCCAGCAGCATGGGGATTCGAAGCTGTCCAAGGAGCTGAAGAACAGGATGAAGGATAGCACCAAGTCGCTAGGCGAAGCAACCACGGACGCTGAGCTGGCTTCCAAGTAGGTCGTCCGCGTCCACTAACCTGCCTAGTGTGAAACGCTTTTTGTATTCTTGATACTCCAAAAATCATTGAAGCGTTCTCTTGCATGCCTTGCAGTGCGGTGGAGAAGATGCGCGCCATGGGGCAGTTGCTGGCCAGAGCGAGAGATCAGCACTACGACTGCACCGGAATGGTGAAGAAGCTACGTGCCATGGTGCATTCTGCTGAAGAGCAGGTGAGTCCCAATCTGTTAGTGGCTGCATCCCCATCCTTGAACAAACCGCTGATCGGAATCTTCTTTTGGTAACATTTCAGAATCAAGCTCTGAGGCAGCAAAGCCTTTTCCTGAGTCAGCTCGCTGCAAAGACCATACCGAAGGGGATCTTCTGTCTCTCCATGCGACTTACAATTGAATACAGCAACCTTTCTCCAGAGGAGCGGGAGTTTCCAGGAAAGGAGAAGCTGGAAGACAATGACTACCATCACTATGCACTCTTCTCTGACAACGTGCTCGCAACAGCCGTGGTCGTCAATTCAACTGTTGTCAATGCAAATGTACGTCCACCTCAACTGTTGCTAATGCGAATGCATGTCTAAACTCGAACGGTTGCTTCTGCACACCCAGACAGTGATCAAGGCCCTCAAGAAACTGCTTCCGTGTTTTCTCCCTGTTCAGGATTCCTCTAGGCACGTGTTCCACATAGTGACTGACAAACTCAACATAGCAGCCATGAAGGTGAGTTCAATGGTTGGTTCTGTTGACGATCGAAAGTCTGGTGGGAGATGAATTGACATTTGAAATGTCTTTGCAGTCTTGGTTTCTCTTCAACCCTCCCAAGGAGGCAACGATTGAGGTTCAAAGCGTTGATGACTTCACGTGGCTCAACTCGTCCTACTGCCCTGTCCTGAGGCAGTTGGAATCTGCATCAATGAAGGTACAGTACAGGAGCTGCTGCAAGATATGTAGTTCTGCTTGGACCACGTGGATACCATTTGCCGAAACTCATGCATTCTTGTTTTGCAGGACTACTATTTCAAGACAGGGCAACAAACGGAAACGGCAGGAGGTGCAACAGCAAACCTAAAGTATCGCAATCCCAAGTACCTGTCAATGCTGAATCACCTCCGTTTCTACCTGCCGGAAGTTTTCCCCAAGCTGGACAAGGTTCTGTTTCTGGATGATGACATCGTGGTTCAAAAAGATCTCACACCACTGTGGGATGTAAGTGCCTGCTCTGCTGCTCCATACAACTTCTCGCTTTAATGCATTTTTTTGTCAATGACTGACATCTCTCCTTGCGTTTGGCAGGTCGACCTGCATGGAAATGTGAATGGTGCGGTGGAGACATGTGGGGCCAGTTTCCACAGATTTGACAAGTACCTCAACTTCTCCAATCCATTGATAGCCTCTAACTTCGATCCACAGGTACCGTTTGTCCGTTGAAGGTTGCAATAGCGGTTGTCCTGCGGTGAATCTATATGGGCACCAGCAACTCCCCTTGATCTGTCCTCCTGCAGGCTTGTGGCTGGGCATACGGGATGAATGTCTTCGACCTGAAGCAGTGGAAAGTTCAAGATATTACCGGTATCTACCACAGATGGCAAACACAGGTGGGCTTCAAGGGTTGAAAGGCCTCCGTTTCACTTCAATGCTGTTCAGGCCCTGAAATCCCAATGAGGGCTGTCAAGGTGGAACAACGAAGTCCAGCAGCTTTGATACTTGAATATTGTTTACTGCTTACTAACTGAATCGCTGAATCTGTGTTCCAGAATGAAGATCGTACTCTATGGAAGCTTGGGACGCTACCACCTGGCCTAATCACGTTCTACAACAAGACTCAACCAATCGACAAGGGCTGGCATGCCCTTGGACTCGGCTACAATCCAAACCTTGACATGGATGAGCTCAACAAGTAAGCCATACCGTCCACCTCCATGTGTACCTTGTGCATGTGGCGCCTACTAACATCTTTCATTTCCTGTCATGCAGTGCTGCAGTGGTGCATTACAACGGCAACATGAAGCCATGGCTTGAGATTTCAATGACTAAATTCAAGCGGTATTGGACCAAATATGTCAAGATAGACCATCCGTTTATGCAGCAATGCAATGTGAGCCCTTGACAACATGTATCCTAGTGCATTTTACTCACAGCAATGATTATGTAACGTGTCTACTCTTGTAGGTGTTGTACACGCACCAAGTTACTGGGCATTACACTTTTGAAGGAAATTCCACAACCGGTTAATGATGGTTCAGGATTCAATAGAAAACCTCCAGTAATAGGAAAAAGTAAGTGCGGTACACAGCCTCTCCTTTAAAAGTACTGGGTGAGTTCCTCACCACTGAGCTCCTCCAGTTTCTTCACCAGGCTCTTCGCACTCTCAGCCACATTGGCGTCTGAATCTTCCAGCAGCTCCGCCAAGAAGGGGATGGATTCGGGCAGCAGCACCACGTACTCTTCGCGAACCCGATCCACGATCTCGTTGACAACACGCAGAGACAGCTGACGCGACCGCACCCGCTCACTCCTAGTGCACATCAGAACCTGCCACAAAACAAAAAATGCAGGTGTTCAAGTACCGGTAAAAAGTCGACATAATCTTAAGTCAAAGGCAAGACTAGACTCGCACTTCGTAGTCACAGCGCAGTACCTGGTGGTTGAGCTGCTTCCAGAGGATATCAGACCCCCCTGCAATGGTCATTTCACCGAGGCATGTCACGAGCTCATCATCCACGGCGCTGATGCTTGGGACAGACGCTGCAATGTAGGGCTCCAGCATCAGGTGTGCCTCTGAAAGCTGAGACGCCGCCGAGAGAGCTTCTGGAGCAGACGGAGTAGAAACAATGGAAGCCACCCCAGCTGGAGGCTCTCTGTCGATCTGAGATATGAGAGGCTCCAAGAGAGCCTGAACACATCGAAGGCATGACAGCTGTTAGATAAGAGGAGGACACACACATTCTTGACTTCCTAACCGTGTGTGTTGCAATCACTGCAGGACGGCTGCATACCTGGAAGCGTGTTGCATCCAAGAAGGCGGCGTTGGAGTCATAGAGGAAGCACTTGTGCAGCGCACACACCACCAGGTGCCTCAGCTGCCACTGTGCAATGCTGTCCTCTGCTGCTGCTGCCACGCTTGCTGACTTGCGCCTCTTCTTCTTAATCCCCCCCTTGGCAGCATCACTAGTGCCAACAAGGTGGCGAATGGCAATGTCGAAGAGGTACTGGAAGTATGGCACGAACACCGACCTGAGTGGAGGGGTTGCAAGGAGCACAAAGCCATTCTTGTGAGGCAGAACAAGACAGAACCAGTGAGAATCTGTGTACTCATGCTTATGCACAAGCGATCTTCATCATCAGAAGCAGCAGCAGCAAGAGCAGCAGCATGAGTACCTGAGCTTGTCAGAGAGCACGTTGACGAGACCGAAGAGAGTGAGGTGTCGCTCCACTCTGCCTGCTGGTGATATGGCATCACCATCAGCAGCATATTCACTGGCGGCCCATTCAAGCACGCGCACAAACATGGGCTTGAACACACTCTCACTCGTCTTCATCACCAGCCCCACCATTGCCGTCACTGATGCTCCTTCCACATCAGGAGCCGTGACCATCTGTGTGGCACCTGGCAGACGCTGATTGGAGGAGCTGTCAGTGGAGGGGGGAAAGGGAGGGGCACGGCGGACATCGAAGGTGCGGAGGAGGAGGAAGTCGAAGATGCGGGCGTGGAAGGTGGAGGCAGCAGCCCGGTCCATGTGGGAGGCGGTGCGAGCCAGCATGTGCAGCAGAGCAGCAGAGGGTGCAGGGCCTGCAGCTGTCGCCGTGGACCAGGAGGAGACCAGAGGGTCCAGAAGCAGCCGCATCTGGAGCAGGGGAAGGGCGGCAGGGGAAGGACGGGACACGATAAGGCAAAATCAGCCCGCGATCACCATGTTCTGATCTAGTGTGAAAAAGGGATGCTGGAAGTTGGACCAAGTCTGCAGATTGTGTGAAAACGAGGCAGTTGACAATTAACTGGTTGGTTGAAAAAGTGAAGGGCCTTACAGGAAGCTTCTGAATGAGCAGCTGTCGCACAGCATGGGCATGCTGCATCACCGAGGTCGAGGGGCAGCAGAGAAGCACGGGACTGAGGCAGGTGCAGGCGAGGATGCGAGGAGTGAAGGGAGAGAGGAGAGGACCCATGGCTGCCAGCATGGCTTCCAGAGCCTGCAGCACAGCAGCCAGCAGGTCATGTGCCACCCCCTCACTCACCACCTCTGCTCTCCCATGCCCCTCACCCTCCTCCATCTGCTCATCCCCATCCTCCGCACCCCCCTCATCTGCCCCAAATTCCTCCACCGCCCCATTTCCTGCCGCAGCAAGGGCCCGGTCAGCTGAGGCGAATAGAGGCGGCATGAGGACAGGCAGGTGGGGCAGCAGCAGATGGTGCAGTGAGGAGGCGAGGGACGAGAGGCAGCGCAATGCAGCAGCAGAGAGGAGCGGTGGGGACGAGTGAGAGGAGATGATACGAATGAGAGGGGCCAGTGCCGGGGAGAAATCTTCAGAAGCCAACGACGCGAAGCGCTTGATGATGGCATCGAGTGTCTGAGGAGAGAAAGATGGGGAACCAAGTGGGAGGGGAGGGAGGAGATTTAGGAGAAGGAATACGAAGGAGGGAAAGAATGATGGCACAGTGAAGTAACATGCACAGGATGAAGCAGGAGTGAAGTAAGGAGCTGCACAGAAGCAAGAACCAGTGGCCCTCCTGCTGCTGCTCTATTGTACTGACCTGCAGAGCAGCCATTTGTGTTGCCAGGGACCTGTCAGCCCCCTCGAGTGCGCCCATGTGCGCCAGCTGTCCTGCCACCGATGCATACTCCCTCGCTTCTTCTTGAGCTGCCTGCGCCAACCGCTGCTTGCTCCTACCCTTGCCCCGGCCATGCGGCATGAGGGTGTGGGGCGCGGAGGCCCGCACTCGGGCGGCAAGCAGCCGAAGAACCTGCGAAAAGAAGAGGGGAGCAGTAAGGCAGGTGTGGAAATGCCAAAGAAATCCATGGCCCATGTGGTGTATAACAGTATATGGAGTTTGGTTTGGCCCAACGTGTGCCGTGGAACATGGTGGTGGTCGAAGTGTGTGTGCGACACAATATGAGCAGTACCTTGCGTCGAATATGAGTGCTGGGGTTGGTCAGTAGCGTCTGCACCGCTTGCAGGAACACACCACTAGGAGTGACGTCATCCAGAGTCTGCAGCAGCTCATACGCTGCTGAAGCAACCGAATCCGCCCTGTCCTTGAGGGCAGGAGGATAGGATGCGGTGGTGAGGGGGGCGGACACAGCAGCACTGGCAGCAGCAGCGGCAGCAGTGGCACGGAGGCGAAGAACCACATGCTCTAGAAGAGACACAAAGAGCTGTCGGTGCTGGGTGTCAACCATTGCAGCATCACCCTCATTGTTGAGCCCTCCCTCCCCACCCTCTGCTGGATCTGCCCCTCCCTCCATCCCCAGCTCCTCCTCCATAGCTGCCACTGCAGCTGGCAACTCAGCACCCACAAAGCTCACCACAACCACATCGTCATCCGGACCCGTCCCACTCCACCAATCACATGCCTCATCTACTGCTGCACTCGCCTTCCGTCGCGCTATGATTGGAGGGCATGTGGCTTCCAAAAGCTTCACATACGCCTCCAGTCGGATGCTTCCTGGAACCTGCGAACAGAGCTCAAATGCCAGGCTGAGCCCCCACTCGCCTTGCTTCTCATCGCCTGTGCTGTCCCCCCGCCGCCTCCAGTATGCGTGCTGCTGCAGAGCTGCCTGCCTGCGCGCCCGCGCAGAGCGAGGGGTATCTTTGGGATTGTTGGCACGTGCTGTGAGAAGTGAGGGTGTGACGCCTGTGGTGGTTAGCAGCAGCAGCAGAAGCGGAGCTAGGCCCAACGATGGAGAGACACCTCTGTGGTAGCAAGAGGGAGGGAGAGGGTGGGGTGTTGGGAAGTACAAGAGGACGCATGACTTACAAGGAAAAGAGGAGCAGGAGAGATGTTCAAGAAACGTGACCCAGCAAGAAGTCGAATAGGGGAGAAAAAGGATTGAACAAGGCAAAGGAAGCGAGGAGATGAGTGGGGGTTGGAAAGAGATGAAGGCACCTGAGGAGAGCAGAGAGGAGGGCGATGCGGTGGTGATGAAGCATGGAGGGCAGGGATGACACGACCATCTGGATGCGCACAGAGAGGGGTGGTGTGGGTTGGGGGCGAAACGAGGGTTTTCACAAGAGGCCCAAGCTGGTGGAGGGATGACACAGAGTGAAGGGGCTTCGAATGGACGAGGCAACTGATTTCAGTGGAACTTGAAGCAGGGGCAGACCTCGACTGAAAGGTACCATAGGCTGGGGAGTGACATCTGTGCTCACGTAAAACAGGAAGTGACATCTGCAATCACCTGAAGCAGGGGAGTGTCATCTGAACTCTTCTTAAGCGGGAAAGCGGGATCGGCATTCACCTGAAGCAGGGGAGTGACATCCTGGTTGTGGTGCAGCCATGCAGGAAGCACTGCCTCCACGAGCCGGTGGATGGCGTCGTGTGACTCCCGAATGTCCTGATGGGGATGGGAAACGCGAGATGGGCCCAAAGTGGAGACACAGACACATCCGCTCAGCCACCGGAGCACCCACACAGAGAAAGAGCGAAAACGAAGAGGAGTGCCACAAAAAGGGGAACAAAAGGCAGCAAGGCCAGAAGCAAAGAGGAAGGAATGCTGATGGGAACAAGGAGGAGCGAGCGAGTGAAGGTGCAGGGGAGGAACGCACGAGGGCGAGGGTGGTTGAGGTGGCAACAGAGAGCACTGCCACCACGTGCTCCATCACCTCCTCTGGCTGCCTCTCTGCAGCAGCTGCCAGCACCGCTATGGCTGCACTCGCAGTGGCAGGGTCCCTCCGCCCCTTCACTACCTCCACTGCCGCCCCCACCATGTGCACCACACACTCCTCCTCCCCATGCTCCATGCCCTCTTCATCCTCCCCCCCCTCACTTTCCATTGCCTCGTCCTGTCCCTCCTCCACGTGCGTGTGTGAGGAGAGGGCGTTGCGTGCCACCGTCAGCACCAGCTGCAGCACGAATTCAACGGCTCCCAACATCTGGGCGCTCATTGCAACCTCACTCCCTGCCACATCGCCCTCTCCATCCTCTGCCTGATGCCCTCCCTGCTCTCCCCCCTCTTCCTCTGCATCATTGGAGTTGGGTGCTGGTAGCATCGGCCAGCGGTGGGAGAGAACAGAGCTAATGGCCGTGGCCAGCGACGGGAATAGCTGGATGCTGGGGAATGGGCACAGCGCAAAGGGCATGGGGCAGGGGAGGAGGGAACGATAAACATAAAGTTTTATGATAGTTGGATCATGGTGGGATGGAGGGCATAATGTGAGACATTGCAGGGCTACTTGCAACTGTGGTGTGACGTCATCAACTCAGATCTTCTGTGCTGCCACGTCACAAACTCACATCTGCTGTGCTGTGACGTCCTCCTTCCACAGCAGCATCTCCAGCAGACCAGTTGCGGCAGCCACACGTAGTTCCACTGGCAGCGAGTCAGAAAGCGGCACATAGGCACCCATGTGTGGCTTGTTGGAGCTGGTCGCCTGAGGGGCGCCATGAGACACCGATGATGGAGAGAAGAGGGCCGTGATGAGGCGCGCAAGCGTGGTTGGGCTCAGCTGAAAAGGGGGACGGAGAGGAGAGGGAAGGAGGGTGGAATATCCGTATGATAGTGTGAGTTTTGAATAAGGGAGCAACAATAAAAGCAGTTGGAGAGAGGGAATGAACCGCATGGAGAAAAACGGCCACATCCACCTCATACTAAAGACCCAGTGGCAGGTGGATGTCCTGCATGGGCATATATGGTTGACATGAGCCCTCAGCAGCAGCACACCTTGAGGCGCCGGAGTGCCTCCTTGGCTGCCTGGCGCGCTGCAGGCGAGGCCTCAGATGCTGCCATGAGGAAGAGCAGACTCGCCACGAGCCCATCCTGAGGAGGACGAGGTGAAGCGGCAGAGGTTGGAGGGAGGGAGTGGAATGCAGCAAAGCAAGGAGACGAGTGGTTGATGATGTTGCTGCTGAGAGAATGGAAAAAGAAAAAACGGATGACGGAACAATGGCAAGCCCGGCTCACCTGGTAGGTGTCTGGCAGAGCCTCCAAGAAGTCATTTGTGACCACACCTGCTGCCGTGATGGATGGGGCCTCCACTGCCACGTCATCGGCTGACATGGCACCCTGTACCTGGAAGAAAAGAAAGTGGGAGCAGCAAAGTGAGCATGTCAGCAGCACATGTTTCCACCTGGCATGCCCTTCATCACCAGATCTAAAACCTCACCTGCACATTCACACCTTCCCCATCTCCATTGTCCCCTGCACAGCCACACACCTGCTATACTGTACCTGCATTGCCATGAGCAACAGCGGTGCAATGTCAAGCGCAGTAACCCCATGCCCTGCTGTGTGCTGCGCTTTCTCCTTCCCATCTTTCGGACTCTCCTCTCCTTCGCCTCCCTCCTCCCTCATCTCCTCGTCCTGAGCCCCTCCCTGCCCACCTCCTGATGCGGCAGCAGCTACAAGCTGCAAGGTGCAGTGGGAGAGAGGAAACGTTTCGTGCTAGGGAAGCTGAGAATCAACAAGCGCATGCCAGCAGCCTCATGCAGGCCCAAGCCCAAAACCCACAAGGTTCAACGCCGTGGCAGGGACATGCTTCTGCGAGGCGAGAATCATGTGCACGGCTGCAGTTGCGTGCATGATACATTGCGAACCCCATTGCGAATGCTAGACATAAGAACCCAGGTCAAGAGCATTCCATTCACAGGCGTACCTGCAAGCCCACAGCCAGCAGGTGCACCTCATCCAGTTCCAGCCTCCCCCCCAGCCGTGCTGCTGCGTCCACTGATGCTGTCTTGTGTGGCAGTGGCGGCCCAGAAGCACCTTGTGCCTGCTGCAGGTGGCAGTGCAGGCGGCGGGAGAGCAGCTTGTGCAGGCGAGGCGGCAGTAGGCCCAGCGGGAGGAGAGCAGTGACTGCTGGAATTGATGCGAGCATGTGGACAGCCAGGGCCTGCAAGACGTCGAGTGGGGGGTTGAGCAACAGCAAGATCGGTTTTATGCCACGTGCAGGAAAAAGAGTCACCAAGTAAGGACGGGTGCGAGTGAAACGGACAAATACTACAACGCCAGACATGTTAACGTGTTTGTGATGGTTGCGGTGGTGTGTTCAAGGGGAAGGTGTGGTACCTGAGGCCATGGGGGAAGGCTGATGGCAGCATTGAAGAGAGCTGAGAGCAGGGCAGTACGATCAGAGGGAGTCAAGCTGCCATAGCAAACAGACAGGCGTGAGGAAGAAATAAGTTATTGAAGCTAGTCGAGCCCGGAAAAGCGCTGCCACACCAGTTAAGGAAAGCAGACGACACACAGCATAACCGGACATGAATGGCACGGGACAATATGCCATGAACAGAGACAAAGTCGTATACCTGGAGCCAGTGGACGCAGCACACGAGGGGTCCAGCAGACGAATGAGCAGAGCAGCAGCTTGGCAGGGTTTGGGAGGGATGGAGGTGGAGGATGCAGCAGGTGTGAAGGCGGGCAGCGAGAGGGCAATAGTGGAGGAGGAGAGGGCAAGTGGTAGGGAGGGGTCCGAGAGGAGAGCATCCTTGGCGGTTGAGAAAGTGGATGCAAGGAGCGAAAGAGAGGAGGGAGAGGGCACTGCGGACGAGGAACTGGGGAGAGTGGCAGTCGCCTGCGTGAGGGTCGCGAACGCGTGCACAGCGGCCTTGCGAACAGGCTGAAATTCACAACAGCAAAGAAGGAAGCGTTAATGTGGCGAAGATGGGTCTGTGATGCCATGGCTTGTGAATAGCCGCTCACAATCATGAGGAAAAGCGAGGAGCACAACAGCTAGACATTGAGTAAAAAGCAACAATTGGGGAGCTTGAGCTCCCGCGCCCCACGGCTTCAGTCTCACCTTGAGAGGGCTCTGCACCGCCACCATAAGGCGCAACAGCACTCCCACAAGCACATGTGGCAGCTCCTCATTGGCCTTGGCGTCCCCTGGCACTGCAGCAGCAGCTACAGCAGGGAGGAGGGAGAGCGCTGCTAGTTGGAGGGAGGGTGAGTGAGACGAGACCGAGGGCAGGAGGAAGGGGTCCAGAAACGTGAGGAGGGAGGCTCGAGTGGCGAATCGTGCAAGCAGCAGCTGCAGCAGAGAAGATATGCCTTGCTGCCCCGTGCTGCCCTCTTCCCCTTCTGCCGTCTCCCCTGCATGTAGACCCATGTCCCTCACAGCCTGCAACATGGCCTCTTGAAATTCCACTCGCCCGCCTCCCTCACCATCGCTCTTTCCCTCCTGCCTCCCCGCCCTTGCTTGCACTGCACCAGCAATGCGTGTTGCCGCCAGAGCAGCTGCCTTGGGACTTGCTGTGCCCATCAGCAGCTCAAACACGCGTCCTGCCACAACACCTCGCTGCTTACGTGGTCCTGACACACTATCACTTATCCGGGTGGCTCCTGGAAGCTTCCTCAAAAGGGATGAGAGGCATGAGATGGTAAGGTCGGCTGACAGGCTGTGGGAGTCGATGGAGGAGGCGGGGAGTGTGGAGAGCAGTGTGAAGATCTTGGCGTGCACGTCTGGAGCTGCTGAGAATGCGGCCTGCAGGCATGAGGGAAGGAGAAATTAGACGAGTGTTCTTCAATCCAGGCAAGAAAGCAGGAAAAGGCAATGAGGGGAAGTGAATGGTCAGACACTTTGAAGGCCCAAGGCAGCACCTGAGCGAGAGAGGAGAGCAGCGCATCCAGGTGGACAGAGGCAGCACCCTTCCGTCGCTTCTCCCCCACCCCTCCACTCCCATGCACTGCCTGCGCCACCACTGCCTTCCACGCATCCTGCACCAGACCCACTGCCTCCTCCGCAAAATCCATAACTCCTCCTTCCTTCGCCTCTTGGAGTTCCGTGCTCCCTGCCACGGCAACATTTTCACGTGACTGCAGTGCTGATTCCAGCGAGGTTGACGTGGCAGGGAGGCTGTGTGCTGCTCCAAGAAGTGCAAGCAGCAACAGCTGTCGCCCAGCAGGAGAGGTTGAAGCAAAAGCAGAGCGGCTGAAGCGAATGGCAGTGCGCCACATGTCTTTTGAGGCAGATCGTTGTGCGGAACAGAGGGAAGGTGGTGTGATGGCAACAGCAAGGGCGAAGGTTACGAGAGAGAGGGCATCGGAGGTGGAGAAAGAGGGCAAGGAGAGGGAAGCGAGTGAAGGGGAGGGGAGGTGGAGGAAGAGGGGGAAGTGGGGCGCGAGCTGCTGTGCCATGAGAAGAGCCTCGTGCAGCATTTGGGGGTTGGCGAGGGGACTGGAAGGACAGTAGGGCTGCACAAAGGGGTGGGGACAAGAGGGAGGAAGAGGGAATGATGGGCGAGAGGGTGTCAGCTTGGAAGGCGAATAGTAAGAAGCAGAGAACATGAGTTGCATGGCAGGGGGAGAGAGAGCGGGGTTGTGGTTGGGGAAGGGGATTGTCACCTGAGAGGGCATGAGAGCAGACAGCAGCACATGTGGCATCACCTCCTCCGCCACCCCCTGCACCAAACCTCCCGCTCTCCCCTCCTCCCCCTCCTCGCTTCCCTGCCCCTCGTCTTCCCCCGGATATGTTTTGAGCGCTGGCCCCATGACAGCCGTGCGCAGGAGGTGAAGGGCGGTGCTCTGACACTCTGTGGATGGGCGCATGGCGCACACAGGGGCACATGGGATGGGTGGGGCCATGTGGGGCACATGCGGGCAGATGGGGACAAGTGAGGCCATGTGTGTTATGCGGCAGTGGGTTGGACTTTGGAACGTAGAGTGAGTAATAGTAGTGCGGCTGGCAGTCATACATGGGCAAACAAGCTGATAGAGCAGCAGCCCTTTACCCTTGATGTGAGCAGGTAGAGGCTCGGAGGCAGGCGGCAGCGGGCGGAGGAGAATGGCTTTGAGAGGGGCGACGAGGAGAGAGGCAGAAAGGGCATGTGGGAGGAGCGGAGAGGTGACAGCAGCGTGCAGCACTTCCCAGCTGTCATCTGCCAGTCGCCGCTGCAGCGCAGATGACACAAATGACTGCACCTGCGAGGGGACAGACAGAGGAAGGGAGGAGGCCAGAGCACGGAAGCGGTGTAAGCGAATGATGGACAGTGAAAGCTCTGAACAGGGGAGAGAGATGCGCGTGGAAAGACATCAGATGGATACGAATGCCAAAACAACTCCCCAACCACCACATAATCAACCCCATCTGCTCACACCTTTCCTCACACGTTCACAGCCTTCCCTGGACCCAGCGGCACCCACCTCGCCTTGAGCCGCCTCGTCCGTGTCCACGTGCTTCCCTGCTGCCGCCATGAGCCCTGGCAGCTGCTCCACTGCTGCCTTCCGCACTTGCCACTGCCACGTGCAACCAGGAGGGACAGGTGCCACATGGGAGGAGAGAAGCACGGAGAGAAAGGTGAATCGTGATGAAAGACGAGGAGATGAGAGAAAGAGAGAAGGATTGAGTGCTGAGTGCCTCATGTGTCACTTGCACATGGTCAACTGCACTCACTTGTGCATGATCGATTGCCAAATGAACTGACAACAGCTGCTGCTGCTGCTGCTGCTGCTTCTGCTGCTGTTGCTGCTGCTGCACGCTTGTCCCCGTGGCAGCAGGAGGGGCATCGACTTGCTGCAGTGCACAGGGGCTGGCAGAGAGGGCGGTGCCCAGGAAGGACACGAGCGTGGCGCGCTCGGCAGGAGCGGATGCGAGCGACTGGTTGGGGAGGGGGTGGAGAGGATATGGAAGGCGCGGCAATGAAGGCGAGAATTAGGTAGAGTAGGGGGCAAGGGACAGAGATGCATTGAAGAGAAAAAAATGAGGCAAATGAGCGGGGAAGGAGAGGATGAAAGATGGAGGGGAATGAAGGAATGACCTGAGAGTTGAATTCGATAACTACAACGATTCAAGTGACTCAAAATCTGCACAGCAGCCTGAGGCCTGCCTACCTCAAAGACTGCAGCCGCCTACCTCTAAGACTGCAGCGATGGCAGCATCAGTCGGTGAGGTGAACTTGAGAGAGAGGGCCAGCAGTAGCGGCTGGATGCGAGGTTCTGCCAGGGGTTTAAGTTCGAGGAGTGCAGAGGGCAGAACGGGAAGGAATGGCAATTGGAAAAATTGGAAAGAATGAGTGTGTGTGGCGGGGGTGGGGGGAAGGGGGATTCGAGTGATGTGGGGAGACGGATGTTTGGTTGGTACAAGGGAATGCACGGAAGTCAGAGCAGAGGAATGCAGAATGGCAGAAGATGAACAGGAGCAGCTGGGTTGGAGGTGTGTGACTGACGCAGGGAGGAGAGCACCACGGGTGCCCCCTGTGGCAGGCCCTTGCCGACGGCGAAGCGCAGCAGGGAGAGGGCGAGGCGAGGCACGAGAGGGGAGAGTGCTGCACGCGGCAGCTGGCGCAGCATGGCCAGCAGCACATCCGCCGCTGCCTGCGATGTTGCACTGGGCCGTTCGGGGGGCACCAGGGAGGGAAGAGAAGGGAGATACGCACGTGAGGGACGAGATGGCAGCATAGATGCATCACTGGCATGGATACATCATTACATGCATACATCACTGGCATGCATACATCACTGGCATGCATACATCACTGGCATGCATACATCACTGGCATGCATACATCACTGGCATGCATACATCACTGGCATGCATACATCACTGGCATGCATACATCACTGGCATGCATACATCACTGGCATGCATACATCACTGGCATGCATACATCACTGGCATGCATACATCACTGGCATGCATACATCACTGGCATGCATACATCACTGGCATGCATACATCACTGGCACGCGTACATCTTGGGCAGCAGTGTGTCAGCCAGCAGGTTGAGAATCTTGGCCGTGTTGAACTTGTGTGCCGCAGCGCTCAGCACATCCACAAAGTGCCTGCAGCGTACCCATGGGCGTTGAGGAGGCACAGGGAGGGAGAGCGGCTTCTAAGGAAAGGAAGGATGAAGGGCACTTGGGCGAGCATAGTGGGCCACAGCATGGGCCAAGGGGGGCAGGCAGGGGTGGAGTTGGCACAGCACATGATATGGGGGGAGCACAGGAAGCGGCCACTACAAGAAAAGCGGGGGAACCAATCCGTCCGAACCCATGCAAACCCATCCCATTTGAACCAACCCGTCCTATCAGATTCACGCACTGCAATGATGACCCCATCCTAATCCCTCCTTCCCATGCCTGGCACTAATTTCATTTCATCCCATGCCATTCCACGCACGGCATGACACTCGTGCCATTGGATCGGACGTACTTGTCTGTGAGAATGTTGGTGACCGCCCTGGATGGGAGAGACAGGATTCGTTGCGTCTGTCAGAGACACACGGAAGAACAGAGGACGAGACAGCAGACGGAGCGATTTGCACGTTAGGCTACACGAATGTGGTTGTTGAATAAGTCGAGCAGACTGAGACAAGAGCCCCGATGGGATGAGAGGCACAGGAGAGGGGATGGGAGATGAGATGAGATGCGAGGGCACTGACCGCGGAGAGGTGGACGACGACGAGGAAGGCGTCCATGGAGATGGCGCTCGGTGGTGCTCTCATGTCGCGCGCAGTGCGGGCAGCGGAGGCAGTGGCAGCGGTGGGGGAGAGGAGGGCGACGAGGAGGGAGTTGACGACCTGCGTGGAGAGCTGCGAGCGGTTGGCCAGCTGCGACACCAGCATCATGGCCGCCAGCTGATGGGGAGGGGGACAGGTGGGTGGGCAGCGGGTAGGAAGTCACACGGAGGAGAGGAGTGGATTCAATAGCTGCCACATCATGCATTTTATGCTGAGCTGAGCTGGCGCACGAGACTTGGCACGCTGGGTTGAGAGCAGCATGGCATGGTGAGGGGAGGAGGTGCACAGTGAGGGGGGACAGAGGCAGCAGGAATACCCTGTGCTCATGCACGGCGGAGGGCTGCAGGCCGTTGAGGATGAAGGGCAGCAGGTGGGAGAGTGCGTCCACGGACACGCGCATGGCAGCCAGCGCCTCCAGCAGCAGCACGCTCGTGAAGGTGAGCAGCCGCATGGCGGGCGCTGCAGGCGCCGTGGGGGGAGCCGCTGATGCAGGGCCGCCCCGGACCACACAGGTGGCCGCCTTCTCCGCCTGACGGGGACGAACAGATGGCGCACAAGGGAGGGAGCTGGCTTGAGTACAAGGAACGAGGATTGGCTTTGCGATGAAGAAGGTGAGTGTGCTAGGGTGATCATGAGAAGCAGAGTGTGAGGGGAAAACGAGAGGGGTCGAGCGTAACGGAGTGAAAGCAACAGGAAGCACATGGGGCATGACACATGGCATGGGAGGAGGAGGCATACCGCACGGCACATGGCATGGGAGGAGGCATACCGCACGGCACATGGCATGGGAGGAGGCATACCGCATGGCACATGGCATGGGAGGAGTCATACCGCATGGCACATGGCATGGGAGGAGGCATACCGCATGGCACATGGCATGGGAGGAGTCATACCGCATGGCACATGGCATGGGAGGAGTCATACCGCATGGCACATGGCATGGGAGGAGTCATACCGCATGGCACATGGCATGGGAGGAGTCATACCGCACGGCACATGGCATGGGAGGAGGCATACCGCATGGCACATGGCATGGAAGGAGGAGTCATACCGCATGGCACATGGCATGGAAGGAGGAGTCATACCGCATGGCACATGGCATGGAAGGAGGAGTCATACCGCATGGCACATGGTATGGAAGAAGGAGTCATCCTTGACGCATCTCTGCACGAGCTGCGCCCTCGGGATTGCCGCGCCATTGGCCTTGCAGCCGTGCAGCACTGGTGCCCACTTGGAGTGCCTGGCGCAACGGAAAGGGCGGGCGGGCGTTGTGAAGGTGTGGGGGGAAGCAGCTGTTATTACTGGGTTCTGCCACGTCCATGCTGGAACGCAACGAACGAGCATGCGAGCTAATCATCTGCGGCGCCATTCCTGACGGCATTGGCTGTATGGACCACGTCTGTGATGTGAATTCGTGGAGCACGAGAGCAGCGGGCGTGATGCGGCTTACTTGAGGGAGAGCAGCTGCACGATGCGCACGAAGAGGCTCGTCTCGTGGTACGGCAGCGCCGCCAGCACCAGCGAGTCCACGTTGCACTGCTGCACCCTGCGCGCACCCACACCACAACGCGTGCGCGGGGAGATGGGAGCGGAGGGTTTAGAGGAGAGGAGTAGTCAGAGGTGTGAGTAAAGATGGAAAGCTGGGCCACAATCCGGCGAAAGCTACGACGGATAGGGCTTGGATGCGCGCACCGGTACTTGCGGATGAGGTACTCGAGCGGCTTGTGGCTGGCGGGCAGCAGCAGCGCGTCGGAGAGCAGCATGAGGAACGCGTCGATCGACCGGTCCAGCGCCGCCACCACGTCGGGCGGCTCGTCGTCGCGATCCGTCTGCAGGCTGGCGGGCGAGAAGAGCGTGCTGAGAAACGGCTTGAAGCGCGCGTCCATCGCCACCAGCTCCGCCAGACCTGCACGCGCGCACGGTGAGACGGGTTGGGCGCAACGGGTGAAGGATATTGGCGCGACAGAGGAGTACGGGGTTCGGAGCCGCGAGGGCAGGCGTGTCGTTTTAGTGTAGAGCACGGGCATCGAGATCTAGGGGCCCGCGAGACTACGCAATTGACACTAACAGATTAGGAAAAAGGTATGACGATTTTGCGCCAACCTGCTTGCGCCATGTGTAAGATGGTTTCCGCGTCCACGTCAGCGGCTTCCTTGGCCTCGAAAATAAGGGACGGCCTAATGTGCGCCCCCCGTTTGCCGCTCGACTTGGTGACGACATCAGCTGCAGTTGGGCCCGTCGAGAGGGCGATTTGCCGCAGCTGTCGCGACAACGCTGTTCCCGCCATGTTGAATAGCAGTTTTCGGACCCTAGGCACGATGCGGCTGTCGTATGTAATGGACAGACTCGACCTAGAACTCACAGACGCTGAGGAAGCTGAGCCCTTGTTGAGTTTTGAAGGTTTTGGGGCCAGCGGGTTTGGGGATAGGTCTGGCTTAGGAGTCGCAGCAAGGGTTGCGACGGGACCGCGAAATCTGAAGGGTCGTCATTTCGTCCTCGAAATAACACCTGACGATCATCGCTTGTAGACACAAGCAGAGTGAATTTGGAACTAGCCACCCATCCCGTGTCGAGTCACTCTTTGCTGAATTGGCGGCGTTACAATACCAAGGCTAGGAGCAGGTTCCGCCTGCCCTTCGTTCCGATTGGTTTGGCCCGCTGTTTGGTTTGTCAGACACAAACAGCAACAGACCAACCTCGGAATGGAATCTGTTGAAGCAGAGCTGTGAAGGGCACACACTTCCAACACCAGCCATCCTTCATCGCACGGCGTCCTATGGAGCGGCGCCACACCTTGAGCGACTAGCGCGTGCAGTCGCTCGCTTCACAGGTCGATCGCGCTATGGGAGAAAGATCCAAGCCGTACAGTTCTGCGATCTGGCGTTAATTCATTCCTCACGACCCTGTGTCGCGTCACTGAGCCGCGTTCGTCCCTCTTCTTCGAATTGCGCTGAAGCGTACGATCTGGAGCTTCATTCTACCTCGCGTCGAGAATCCATTCGTGTAATGACGAATTCCACATCGTAGCTGTTCCTGTTCGCCGTCATGTCCACCAATGATAGCCAAGAGCTGCTCTCGCCGCGAATTGCCAAAAGCGATGCCTTCCAGGCCGACTCGATCACGGCCGCCTCGCCAAAGGCGGAATCGAGTCGGCTTATAGCGAATGGAGAAGACGTTATCGTGCCGGCAGACGAGCTGGAGGATGATCTTGCCGAGTCAGCATCAGCGTTTGGTGGGCGCGCGTTGCCATGGTGCGAGCCGTGGCTGTGGTCGGTGGTTAAGGTGCTGCTGCTCGTGCTGCTCTGGTACACCTTCAGCATGGCGCTCTCCCTGTAAGCATGGCGCTCTCCCTGTAAGCATGGCGCTCTCCCTGTAAGCATGCCGCTCTCCCTGTAAGCATGGCGCTCTCCCTGTAAGCATGGCGCTCTCCCTGTAAGCATGGCGCTCTCCCTGTAAGCATGGCGCTCTCCCTGTAAGCATGGCGCTCTCCCTGTAAGCATGGCGCTCTCCCTGTAAGCATGGCGCTCTCCCTGTAAGCATGCCGCTCTCCCTGTAAGCATGGCGCTCTCCCTGTAAGCATGCCGCTCTCCTTGTAGCTGCCGCTCTCTCTGGGCGACCATTTTCTCCCTAGGCTGGCCCTTGTACCTATTCGGTCCCTTTCGGCCTTATTGCCCCTTGTCAGGAGCCTTTCATTGCCCTTAACTGTACCCATGCACTCCCGCCATGCCATGCACTCCCGCCATGCCATGCACTCTGTACTCTGCACGGCGGGGCGGTGGCGGGTGGGGTGGGCAGGTACAACAAGGTGCTGATCGGCGAGAAGCACGGGCGCTTCCCTGCACCGCTGATGATGACCACCTTCCACTTCCTGCTGCAGGGCGCCATCGCCTCGCTGCTGCTGCGCTGCTGCTGCCAGTCCTGGCTGCCCGCCACGCCCATCTCCTGGCGCGACTACTTCCTGCGAGGTAAGCTCTTTCGCGAGAGGAGGGGGGTATGTTGGAAGGGGGGGGGGTTGACCACGCCTGTGGGCTCATGCACGTTCTGAAACTTGTCCATCGAGGGTGCTTCAGGTGACTGTCTGGCCAATCCTTACTTGTCCACAATTCACCGTGTGTCGGCCTGTGCCCCGTGTGCTGTGTGCTGGTGTGCTATCCACGTGCATGCAGTGGTGCCCACGGCAGTGGCCACATCGCTTGACATCGCCCTCTCCAACCTCTCTCTCGCGCTCATCACCCTCACCTTTTACACCATGGTACGCCTTCCTGGCCGTTTTCCCCCTCTCCACTGTGCCAGATCTCATCCGCGTCATTCACTGCAGTCTTTTTAGACACAATTATCCACTTATGTGGTCGTTTCACAGAAAATTAGAGTCTGGCATTCTAACTTAGCCGCTTTCTACGAAGCACCTTGTGATGCATATAGAAAAATCATCGACTCGTGCATCACAAGTGGCATAAACCTTCACCCCCTCTCTCCTGCCTGCACATATTGCAGTGCAAGTCCAGCGCGCCTGTTTTCCTCCTCCTCTTCGCCTTCCTCTTCCGGTGAGCCACCACCCATGACCGCCTTTCCACCACACATAACCGCCTTTCCACCACACATGACCGCCTTTCCACCACACATGACCGCCTTTCCACCACACATAACCGCCTTTCCACCACACATGACCGCCTTTCCACCACACATGACCACCTTTCCACCACACATAACCGCCTTTCCACCACACATGACCGCCTTTCCACCACACATAACCGCCTTTCCACCACACATGACCGCCTTTCCACCACACATAACCGCCATCTAGGGCCATACCCACGCACCTGACACATTTCACTTCTTCACCCTCGTTACCAGCAACAATTCAATTCTCCCCATCGTCATCACCACTGCCAGTACCAATTCAATTCCCCTCATTCGCAACACTACCCCACCTCTGCTCCCTCTCCCCCCCTCCCTCCCGCACTTCCTCCAACCCCGCATGCCTTGTGAAGCCTGGAGACGCCAAGCTTCAAGCTGCTGGGCATCATGCTCGTCATCTCCGTCGGGGTGCTCTTCACAGGTGGGCGAGGGGGGGGGCAGGGGGGACGGGAGGGGGAGGAGGAGGGGGCTAGGAGGCTGTTACGATTATCATCCAGCATTTGTCTTACCACGCTTCGACTTTCCTCTTGTATCACAAAAAGGCCCTCTACCCCAAGTGGCATCACAAGGCCCGATCCGTGCTTCCAACATTCCGTGTGCCCATGGGTGGCTTGCAGTGGCGGGGGAGACGGAGTTTGAGCTGCTGGGATTCATTCTAGTCATGGTGGCAGCATTTGTGTCGGGTCTCAGATGGGTGCTGCTGCAAGTGCTGCTGCAGGTAAGCCGCTGCTGTGTACTGCTGTGTGCTGCTGCTTTGCTGCTGCTGTGTACTGCTGTGTGCTGCTGCTTTGCTGCTGTGTACTGCTGCGTACTGCTTTGTGCTGCTGCTGTGTACCGCTGTGTATGTAAGCATCAACTGACCATCCCCTTAATTTGTGTCCTATCTCCCCTTGCGTGTTCCCAACATGTGCATTTTCAACCCATGGAATGTCAACTCACCATCTCCCCACCCCCTATTGCCGATTGCACTGGCGGCAGGGGGACAAACTTGGTAAGCATCCGTTGCCATGCCCCTTCCTCCTGTCCCACCTCAAGTTGTGCAGCCTCACAGTACCTGTGTGCTGTGCTTGCTCCTGCCACACGCCACAATCCTCCTCTTTCCCGCCATGCCACTATCTCCTTCCCAGTCCACCTCGTCCCCCTCAGCTCTCACCACCCCCATCCTGCGCCCTCCCCTGCCAGGTCTCACCAACCCGCTGCTCACGCTGGCCTATCTGGCGCCCGTGATGGCGCTCGTGTGCGGCGTCTTCTCACTGCTCCACGAGCCCTGGTCCGCGCTCACCTCGTCGCCCTACTTTGACACGTGGCAGCACACCCTCTGGAGCTTCGCCATCATGCTCGTGGGCGGCATCCTCGCCTTCTGCATGGTGCGTGCATGCTTGTGCGTGCATGCTTGTGCATGCATGCTTCTGCGTGCATGCTTCTGCATGGTGCGTGCATGCTTGTGCGTGCATGCTTGTGCGTGCATGCTTGTGCGTGCATGCTTGTGCGTGCATGCTTGTGCGTGCATGCTTGTGCGTGCATGCTTGTGCGTGCATGCTTGTGCGTGCATGCTTGTGCGTGCATGCTTGTGCGTGCATGCTTGTGCGTGCATGCTTGTGCGTGCATGCTTGTGCGTGCATGCTTGTGCGTGCATGCTTGTGCGTGCATGCTTCTGTGTGCATGCTTCTGGGTGCATGCTTCTGCGTGCATGCTTCTGTGTGCATGCTTCTGTGTGCATGCTTCTGTGTGCATGCTTCTGTGTGCATGCGTACATGCATTCGTGTGTGTTTTTTTGTGTGTGTGTGCGCGCGTGTGTTTCTCTGTGTGTGTGTGTGTGTGTGTGTGTGTGTTTGTTTGTGTGTGTGTGTGTGTGTGTGTGTGTGTGTTTGTTTGTGTGTGTGTGTGTGTGTGTGTATTCATGTGTGTGTGTGTGTGTGTGTATGTGTGTGTGCGTGCGTGCGTGCGTGCGTGTGTGTGTGTGTGCGTTTCTATATGTGTGTTCATGTGTGTGTGCATGTAGCAGCAGCACCTTTGTAAACCACTGCCCCACGCCTACCTGCCCTTCCCCTCCTCGCCCCCACTCCCACAACCCCTCCATCGTCCCTGGGCCCCACATGGGTGGCTGGCGTGTGTGGATGGCACGCGGCACGGGGCACTGTGCACGGGGGCGGCAGATCATGGCGGAGTTCCTGCTGGTGCTGGAGACGAGCGCCGTCACCTTCTCTGTGGCCGGCACCGTCAAGGAGGCCGCCACCATCCTCGTGAGCCACACGGGGGAGGGGGGGAGCAATGATGCCAGTGAGAATGAGGAGAAAGGAAGCAGAGGTGTGCAAAATGAGTGTTTCATGCAGTACACCAATGCACAGGTGGTGCACATGTGGTGCATACATGGGTGCATGGGTGGGTGCATAAGTGGGTGGACGGAATAATGCATCCACGCATGCATGTTGTGGTGGCAGCCAAAAGTGCGAGTAAGAGCTCTGCATCCCCTCATCTCCGCCCATGTCCTTGCAGCGCCTTGCTCTCTCGTCCTCATGCTCCTGCCATCCTGATGCCGAATCACTCGTGTGTGCCGCCATGCCTGTTTCTCTGTGCATGCCTCTGCGTCCTCTGTCGCTGCGGTCCTCAGGTGTCGCATGCGGTGTTTGGCGACCGATTCACCGCGCATCAACCTGCTGGGCATCCTCATCATCATGCTCGGCGTCTCCCTCTTCAACCTCTACAAGTGAGCGCCATGCTCCTCCACTCACCACCCATGCCAACGCACAGCGCAGTCAGGCAGCAAGGCACAGTGCAGCAAGGCACAGGCGATCAACATTGTCTGGTCAATTCCACCTCTTCCTAATGCAGATTCGTTGCCCTGTATATCGTGCTATCCACCAGCACATGTGCCTCTGCCAGGTGCTGTGGCGATGGTACAAACTGCTGATTGTGTGTGGACGTGCATGTGTGCGTGCGTGCGTGCGTGTGTGTGTGTGTGTGTGTGTGTGTGTGTGTGTGTGTGTGTGTGTGTGTGTGTGTGTTGTGTGTGGGTGGGTTCAATGTGGCAGGGTGTCGCGCAACAAGGCACGTGAGTCTGACGGCCATCTGGTGCACACGCTCAGCGATGCACCCCTTCCTGACCACCCGGGCATGTCCTCCCGAGCAACTGCAGCTGCTACACCACCCCCCCTCGCCCTCCTCCTCCGCCCCCCCAAGCATATCCTCTCTCTCCCCTCGGCACCCGGGACTCCACGCACGTGCTGCTGGCCACCAGCATGAGCCCTCGTGCCCACGCCCACACGCGACTCACCTCCCCCCGTGCCCAGGGTAGCCCAGCAGGCAGTGCAGCGTTTGAAGTGGCGGGCAGCACCTCTGACTTGAGTGCAGTGACTCGTGCAGGCAGTGCTGATGGTCAGGGGAACGGGGCTGACAACATATGATGCCGTCGAGATGGAAGCAATCTCCAAAGGGGAAAAGCAAGCGCAAGTGTAGAGTGATGTGGTAATGCAAGAGACCACTTCATTGCAAGATTCCATTGATCAATTCAAGTCCAGTTCTTCTCTTCTACTGAATCGTGGCCGCGTGGCAGAATCAGTGCTAACTTCACAACATTGCATGCAGTTTGGCGCGGGCGTTCCCTGACTCGTGGAGCCTAAACTCTGTGACACAACTGAGGCTATAAGTAATAAAGAGCTCTACCTACACTAGCGAGTATACAGGCAGCGGCTAGGCGGTGGACTTGGAGCCTTCGAGCAGCTTGACGAGGTAGGCGCCGCCCATGTAGAGGCCGAATGAGGGGCCCCCGCCAGCAGGCACTGCGTGAGCGGGTCGGTGGAGGGCGTGAGCACGGCGGCGGCTGTGACTCCCCCCACCACCACGTAGCGCCAGATGCCCAGCATCTGATCCGCCGTCACCAGCCCCAGCTGCCCCAGCAGCAGCTGGATCACCGGCACCTGCCACCGACACAGGGGGGGGAGGGAGGGTGCACGGCGGGGAGGGACATGGGAGGTAAGACAACGAGAAGAATCAATGGTGGGACTTTGGAATATCTCATGGTGAAATTCTGGGGTATGCGTGGTGGAGGATGTGTGGGCTATGATCGCGGGGATGTGGGGTGTGGGATAGCGGGTGGCAAGGGTGGAGATGTGCAGATGGATGGTGGTGGGCATCCATGCATGGGGGATGAGAGGAGCTTGCCTGGACGGAGAGGAGTGTGACTGGAAGGGACGGAACTTGCCTGGGAAAAAAAGGAAGTTGCATAGAAGGAGAGGAGCTTGCCTGGAAGGAGAGGCCGGTGGAGAACATGAGGAGTAGCACGAACTCGAAGTACTGGTCGATGGACCACAGCGACTCCACCACGCCCTCGGCGTACAGAGATGAAGAAGTTGAGTGCGGCGGGCGTGAGCACGGAGTAGCTGAAGGCAATGCCCGAGTAGAAGAGCACCGACGACCCAAACACTATGGGCGCCAGGAAGCGCCGCTCGCTGGCTGTCAGCCCCGGCACCACAAACGCTAATCACCTCGTTACAGGAATCACCGGCCCCGCCCAGCAGCAGCCCGCAGTACCCCGCCCACCTGCCAGCCAGGGATGGGAAGACATGATGGGACAAGAGAGCACGAAGCGGGCCACATGGGGCATGGCATGACCACGGGGGATAATACGAGGCATTGTATGGGGCACACTGCAGGGCATGGCATGGGATGTATGTGGCGTGGTGCTGTACTTAAAGTGCCAAACGCGTCTAATTTGCATCGTGAAGCCCCACTCACCTTGAGCGTGGTGAAGAAGTATTCCCCCGGCGAGAGCTGCAGGAAGCGCACGCCCTGGGCGTACACGGGGGCCTCGAGGAACACCACGACGGTCGCGGCTGTAGAAGAAGCAGAGCAGGATGGCGCCGCCCACGGCGCCCACGGACACCAGCACGCGCCTCGCGCAGCTCCTCCAGGTGGTCCCAGATGCTCATGGGCACGTCGTCCGGCAGCTCGTCCTGCCCCGGGTTCAGCCACTTCTGAATCGGCGTGCGCTCCTCCTCCCCCCATCTCCCTGCAGCAGCGCCGGACTCACCCCTGCGGCCCCCGTCGTGAGGCGCACGGAGCAGACACAGGGGGGAACAGCACGAGGGGCGCATGGAAACGTGAAAAGAGGGGAAAGGGCAAACAACGGGAGTGCGAATGCGCCCTCCACGTGCGTTAGGGTCAACGCCTCTACTGCGCGTCTATTTCGCGGACCACACGTGCCACCCCCCCACCTCACGCTCTACGATGCTGCCAGGAGATACCACGTGTACACCTGCCCACTCACAGTTATCTGGTCGCCTCTCGACCGGCTGCGCCTCTACGGCTGTCAACGCAGTCGACGACTCCCCCCCTCCGCCCCTGCCCCCTTCGCCCCTGCCCCTTCCGCCCCTGCCCCCTCCGCCTCCCCATCCTTCGCCGCGCCAACAGCCCACCGCCCTCTCCGCGTTTGCCGCATGGGCGAGGGAGCCAGCGGCAGAGGTGCGTGCCGCGATTCGCGCCATGCCAGCGACTGCGCGTTGCTTGGTTGCAGACCTGGAGTCGCCGACACTCGCCATGCTCTTACACCTCTTTCGCTTACTCGCACAGGCGATTGTGCGACTGTTGCAAGCGACAGGTGAGATCGCGTCGCCTAGTTGGACATCCATCGCCAGTTCCGGCATCGTCGAACTGAGCGACAGCGACGAAGATGCGGTGCGCTAAGGCAGGCGCAGAATGCGGCGAGGGAAGTGGAACGGGGTGTGAAGGCACTGAAGAGTGTGTTGATGGTTGGGAGCAACTGATGTGCGTGGCGAAGAGTGGGGGCGACAGCAGGGCGGTTCACGAAACACG